GAGGGAACAGCTTGGTGAGGGAAAAGCCTGATGAAGGAACTGCCTGGTGAAGGAACAGCCTGGTGAAGGAACAGCTTGGTGAGGGACCAGCCTGGTGAGGGACCAGCCTGGTGAGGGACCGGCCTGGTGAGGGACCGGCCTGGAGAGGGACCAGCCTGGTGAGGGACCGGCCTGGTGAGGGACCGGCCTGGTGAGGGACCAGCCTGGTGAGGGACCAGCCTGGTGAGGGACCAGCCTGGTGAGGGACCAGCCTGGTGAGGGACCAGCCTGGTGAGGGACCAGCCTGGTGAGGGACCAGCCTGGTGAGGACAAGGAGGGTAAAGTAAGAGTTTTGTAAGAGGACGCGCGGGTGGCGTCAGGTGGTGGGAGGAGGACAGGTGTCAGCAACTGCCTGTTAGATAACACGGTTCACCTGCCCTTGTCGGTTTCATCATCACCGTTGACGTCTTTTACTCCTTTGTCGGGATGATTAAGCTTACGCTTTTCTACTTTGTTATTCACTAACAGAATTCACATGAGTTTTTAGTGTTATTCACTGTCAGGATGGTGAAGAACTTACGCCTTTATATTGTTAATCATTATCAGAATTGTAAAGAACATTTGTTTATATTTTGTTATTCGTTATTAGGGCTATGATTACCAAGAGTTTCTAATTTGTTATTCATTGTCAAGACGGTGAATGAAACGCATTTCTATTTTATCGATCACTGTCACTCATAAAGTTACTTGGGAGTCAAAGGACGCTGGCCACCACTCAAGGTATTCATCAGTAAAGCCGGGGGTGACACGAGCGCTTTTATGGTCAATTAATTTGAAGCCAAAATTTGGGAGCAAGAAAATACGATAAATTTTATACATAATAGTGGCATTAACCTATGTTAATATATATATATATATATATATATATATATATATATATATATATATATATATATATATATATATATATATTAACATAGGTTAATGCCACTATTATGTATAAAATTAACTAAAAAAATTAAATCACATATTGACTTTATACTTTAAGTACTGATTTGAAGTGTTTTATTTACAAAACACAAGTGTGCAGCCTTCCCGACTCTATACTGTAGCTGCGATATTCTCCTGGTATCTGGGTCCTCCAAACTCAACTCTCTAGCGGTCTAGACAGTCTATAATAAACAATCGTCTGCATTCATATTGCCTTGTTGCTGTGATGTTCCGTCTCCCATCTACTCGCACGGCGGTGATCACTTGTTTTATTCCTGTAGAAACTGGAGCACCAACCACCAGGATGACCACATTTTGAAGAAATTTATCGTATTTTCTTGCTCCCAAATTTTTGCTTCAAATTAATTGACCATAAAAGCGCTCGTGTGACCCTCGGCTTTACGAGGACTGTGTGTTCGTGCGTGTGTTGCCTCGTGATAGTTAGAGTGGGCCCCCGTCCAGAAAGGACGCTGTACTATCCTCCAGCACCAACCCAGTGGGCTAGAGATTATGGTTTCCGACTGTACATGTGGTATTTCTTGTAGATAACTCCATCGATCATGTTCCCTTTATTTTACACGATTAGAAGAGTACACACGAATACAATAAGTTAATATGGAGGCACTGAGAACAATGGCATCCCGTTCTAAGTGCAACCAACCAACCTGATAACTCTGGTACTTCACTCTACGGACAGCCATCCATAACTTTGAACTTTGTATACAATTGTTCACCTTTCATCACAATAACTTATAAACTTATTTTAGAATGCACAGAACCTTTAATGTTTCTCCAAATTATTTTATTTTCGAAGTTGAAGTAAATGTTAATATATATATATATATATATATATATATATATATATATATATATATATATATATATATATATATATATATATATATATACTAACAAAGACTTCCTCATATATTAACCCTTTCACAGCGGGAGGTTACCCTAAACTGAATAAAATAGCCTGGGGGTAGCCAGAATAAAATCGCAAGTGCGTGACATGCGGTGAAAGGGTTAAAGAGTCAAGTAATCATCACAGCTCCTCGTAAACAAAACAAACACATCCCATCACGCTGCTGACTGGGATGGTTTATTTTACCACTACTGTACATACTGTATTGTATACAACTCAGTCAAGGTTCAGGCTAAACAATGAAATGAAAAATCATAACGTGCGTCTGCAGATGTACGAGTATACTGTATGTACTAAGCTCATTTTCCTTAATGTGCTGATAGTAATATATTTTTGTCACTGCGGCCTCTTCCTCAAGTGTTTTGACATCACGCTGGTTGTGTAACAGATGGCAGAGTGATGACACTCTCTCCCACACCATCACACTTCCTCCTCGTTTATCAGTTTTAAAAAAAAAATTCAATTGTGTATTTTTCAGGTGAACCATATATATACTGTATATATATATATATAGATATATATATATATATATATATATATATATATATATATATATATATATATATATATATAAATTAGTTTCATGGGCTATGGAAGGACTCATGTACTTTAGATTGTTACTAGAAGTTAAATTTCATTGTGATCATGATGGGGGTCTGGTAAGCGCCCCTCTTATATTTCAACAGTCTGCCTCCTGGACGTCTACACACTTCCGGACTGCATCTCAAGAATTTGAGTATACACATTTATGTTTCATAACATATAAAGTATAACTCACATATAACAAATATATTAAAAAATCCTGGTGTAAGGTGGTGCTTCCTACCGTCGACCACCGCTTACTGCGTGGTGCAGCGTGCACAGCTGGACCAGATGTTGTGGCTCTCAGGGCTTTACCTGACCTACTCGCTATCTGGACATGCGTGTAAACATGTCCTAAAAACTGGTATTGTTCTCTTAATATTTGAACATACTCTTCTTTACTTGAAGAAATCGAGGATCTAAGAAATTGTTAATCTGATCTTGACGAAACTTCTACAGCTGGACGACCTCAACAGTGGCTGGAAAGGGCACCTTTTTGGTAAAATTGGTCGAATATCAAGGGAAAGTTTGCACTCTAGCGTCCACAACTCTGGTGCGATCTAAAAAAAAAATAAATAAAAAAAATAAATAAAAAATCACAGCTGTTCGGCCAAGACGTAGACAAGGAACTACATTTTTCTTCTCAACACTGGTCAAAGGTCAAGATCACAGGTCATCGATGAAGGTCACCCACACTGAAGAGTACACATAACTTTTAACTAAATGCTACGTACTGTTGACCCTGTCTACCGTAACATACCTGCAAGAGGAATTATAAGCCCCGACGAATGTGCCGAAGAATACATTAACGTGAAGTAAATGGTGCACTTCATACTGGCGACACTGGAGAGTAACCGCCTTGCGCGACCTTTTAGACGCAAAAACAAGTTGCTAAAAACAGCATTTTATCTCATTAACAAAAATAATATTTATTCAGAGCCGACATATATTAGGATAGTTAATAGTGTCACAGTTTACTCTTAAGTCATGCGTTTGGAAACATCCGTCATTTTCACACAACCAGAAGAGAAATATATATTTTTTCACATCATTCATGACCTCCCATGTGTGTGTGTGTGTGTGTGTGTGTGTGTGTTCAATAATGGCTCTAAACAAAAGAAAATAGTAATACTGCACAAAGACACACACACACACACACACACACACAGAGTTCACTCTCGAAGAACATGACCGAGTTGATACCCTCGCCAAATTCGCGTCTAACAAAGACACTGTTGAATACAATTTGGGTATGTCAAAAAGAGCCCTTAAAACTGTAGTTAGGAAGGAATTTATTGATGAATTTAACGCAAGTGACAAGTGCAAACAGGCACTAGTCGATCCATAGTTTACCATGATGAGATGTATCAACTGAAACATGTAGATGGAGCAAGTAACAAGATCACTAGATTACAAGAAGTTGTAACCGCTAGATTAAGATTAGGATATAAGTACTTCTGGTAGTATGTTCCTCAAGCAGATGTGAACAAGACTAAATGCAAAGTGTGTGGTCAGACATATAGCCACACACTCGAACACTACTTCCTCGACTGCGTGAAGATAGAACGTTTTAGGGACAGGTGCAAGCACACTGTGTGAAATGGCACAACGCTTTATCTCTAATGGCAAGATAGCTGACAAATTAAGATTGTATCACCTTTTTTGCACTTAGTAGCTATATCAGTTTCCATATATTGAATCAAATACGCAACGTGCTTGAATACTTCTCACGCAAATGTGAATAACAAAGTGTGAGGCCAGACACACTGCCTCACACTCCTGCACTCACGCAGTTGTGCATAAGTTACCCTTTAAGTATAGAACTAAACAAATAATGTATTTGAAATACTGTGTAACATTCAGTGCCATAATATCCTGACAACGGGGGTTAATTATTCTGACTCTTTGTAAACTCTACTCCGTAATCCTTTGCGCTTCCGCTCACAGGATGAGTATGGAGTGCACAGTAAACTAGCCGCTGTAAGCGGCAAAATTAAATTCTCGATAAAGCGGCAAGAACAAGAGTATTACGTCAACAGTTGTTTGATGTAGTGGCACAACATGGCAGCAATAGATGAAGACGAGGCGAGGCGAGGCAGGGCACCCTCATATACAACACGCTAACCTAACCTAACCTAACCTAACCTAACCTAACCTAACCTAACCTAACCTATCCTAACCTAACCTAACCTAATCTGTGTGTGTTTGTTAATGCAGTAATACTATTGTCTTTTGTTTAGAGTCATTATTGAACACGCTACACATATACTCAGTAAGATAAATCATTTTACCCCAAGGAGCGAGGGTCATAGACTGGTTCGTGTGACTTTAATTTAATTTCATTTCATTGGGATTATTTTTTAGTCTGCCAAATCGTTGTCCAGTCGCCACTCATGGGTTGGGCAACACAGAGCGGGAGGTACCTGTAGAAAGCTTCTGTTCCTCGCGCGGTGGATGAGGCTCCTGCAGCCTTATCTAAGAGACTCGTGCAGAGATAACAAGGTTTAAATAGTGTCAGCGTCAACGCAGTCACCCAGATGGTTTCCGACATTTGACAAGACAACAACTAAAGAAGACGACCAGACCGAACCTCACCATCAGCATCATGAAGATGCTCTTGTACCTGACAGCGGCCATCGCTGTCTGCGCCGCCCAGAATCTTGGTGAGGCTTTCAATTAACAAAATAGACTTTGTGTATAGATTTATATTTATACAGTATTTCAATACTGGATAATTATACATTCAGTTCTCATGCAAGTATTCAGAGCTGGGATTTCTTTATTGTGGATTAGTAGTCCAGCCAGGTGTGTGTGTGTGTGTGTGTGTGTGTGTGTGTGTGTGTGTGTGTGTGTGTGTGTGTGTGTGTGTGTGTAAGCCAGACAAACAAATGTGCAGGTGTGATGTACAGGTGTTTACAGGACAGGTGTGTTCAGATGTGATGCACAGGCGTAATGTCCAGGTGTATACAGATGTGATAAACAGGTGTGATGTTCAGATTATGATGTTCAGGTGTGAGGTCCAGTTGTGATGTATAAGTGAGTACAAATATGATGTTCAGATGTGAGGTCCAGGTGTGATGTACAGGTGTGTACAAATATGCTGTACAAGTGTGAGGTACAGGTGTGATGTACAGGTGTGTACAAATATGATGTACAAATATGATGTTCAGCTGTGAGGTCCAGGTGTGATGTACAAGTGCGTACAAATATGATGTACAAGTATGATGTACAGGTGTGAGGGTCCAGGTGTGATGTACAGGTGTGTACAAATATGATGTACAGGTGTGAGGTCCAGGCGTGTGTGTGTCGGTGTAAAACTTTCAGTAACAGCTGATGAGTTCTGCCATATCATTAAAATATTTCATGGGAATATTTTTTTCGCCACAACTTTCAATGATGACAAACTGAATCTCGTGAAAGATATTTCAGAATAAATTCTTTTAAATTCAACTGAGTAAAGGAGAGAGGGTTAGCTATCTATGTGTGTGTGTGTCATCTACGTTCTTCTTTACCATGAGAAGCTGGGTAGGACTACAACTTATCGCACCTGAAAACAAAACTCTCATATATCATTATCTCCAACAGGTCACATCGAGAACTTGAAGGCAAAGAGTGGTGACGAGTCAGTAACACTTGAGTGGGACTTCGTGAAGGGAGATGCCGCTTACCGACTCCACAAATATACTCTCGTTACTGATAATGACTTTTCCGAGGATATTCGCTGTCCTGCTGATCACTGTGTACATACCGTCGACTACCTTGAGGCTTGTAAGGAACACACCTTCGACCTCACCCCTTACTTTGATGACACAATAAACAGCGGGACAGTTGACGGTGACACGGCCGCCACCACAGGATACACCTACGACAAGCGTAAGTCTTCCTCGTCTTTGCTATAGGTCTGGTTGTAAACGTATGTAACTAAGTCTGTGTCTCTGTGAATGTATCCGTTGTACTTGTGTTAAGGGAGATAGTCTACTAATGGGTGTCTGTAGCCGTAAATACCAGTAATAAACTTAAGAAGGTGTTTATTTACTTCTGCATGGTACTATATACCTCTGCATACAACTGCTTATTTCATCGCTAAACCATAACTGTCTTTTGTACAGCCCCGAACTCTCCTAGCAACCTGAGGATCGTCTCGGAGGAGGAATTGGGTACAACACTTCAGTGGGACGCCCCCACCAAGAACACAGTATGTGTCAAGTCCTACAAGGTGTGCTTCAGGCTGGATGCAGACCCGAACCCCACCTGTGACACGGTAAGTGAACATGTGTGGTGAGGGAGCATGATTGGCGGTGGCGAGAGTTTGGTAGATGTTTGGGGGAGAGTATGGTAGGTAGTGCTGAGGGAGTTTGGTGGATAATATGTGCGATAGCAGTTTTTGGTAATGTTCGCCTCACAATGATGTTCTTGGCAGACGGAGGACACAACAGTGCTCTTGCCTGGTCTACAAGCCTGCGGCAAATACCACGTGTCTGTGACGCCCGTGACACCTACTAATGCAGAGGGACCAAAGCTGGAGCAGGACGTTACCACTGGGGATGGAGGTAGGTGGACGGTAATCCACACCTTGAGAATGAGAGTGAATCATATTGAAGCTGAGAGTAAACCGAATAATGTCCAGTTACCAGTGTATAAGTATATATTGTCGATAGAGATGATATATTGGTTATTATTGACATAACATCTTTATATATATATATATATATATATATATATATATATATATATATATATATATATATATATATATATATATATATATATATATATATGCTGATAACCACAAGGTTATCAGCATATACCTGGATCACGCTCACCTACAGTGATTTATTTGCATATATATATATATATATATATATATATATATATATATATATATATATATATATATATATATAAGGAGATGAATGACAGAGAATAAGGGACATGCTTTAAATGGAAGGATTGCATAAATATCTTGTATGAGAGAAACATCATACTAAAGGAAAAGGATTATGAAAATGATAACGATTGTTCTTATGGTACAGTAAGAGCAAAAAATAGGAGACAAAGTAGAGAAGACAGAGGTGTGCTCTGTGGTTAAGTGTGTGAAGGTTAGAATTAAACAGTGTTTGGAAGAACATAAGTCACTTAGTTGTTAGTCAGTGTTGGTTGATGTGCACATGTCAACAATTTGGGTTAGGTCAACAGTAGGTATGTACCAACAGATGACCAGGAGGAGCTGAAGAGTGTAAAATAGTGTGACTGAAGTGTGTAAGTCAGCAATAAGGAGATTGGACATAAAAATAAAGGCTGGGGAGACAACAGAGAAAGCAGCACTGAGAGTGTGCGAGGTGAGGAAATGTATTGTACCAAGAACACGCAGAGTGTCAGGTTGAGCAAATTGAGTGTACATGATATATTAAAGTCAGTGTTTACAGACAACGGAGGAGATACGTAGACTGGGAAAGAAAGAATAAACTGACTGAATGACGAGGAATGGAGAGGTTTAGTGAAAGATGTAAGAGGGAAGTATCTGAGATAAAGTTAAAAGATGTAAGAGGGAAGTATCTGAGATAAAGTTAAAAGATGTAAGAGGGAAGTATCTGAGATAAAGTTAAAAGATGTAAGAGGGAAGTAACTGAGATAAAGTTAAAAGCTGTAAGAGGGAAGTATCTGAGATAAAGTTAAAAGCTGTAAGAGGGAAGTATCTAAGATAAAGTTAAAAGATAACAAGATAGATAAAGGAATCGGTTGTCATGAATATAAATATAATATGGTAGACGAGGATATGATAACAAAGCTTAGTATCCAGCTGAATACAGCCTTAGGGAAGTTTCGGAAAGTTTGAGAAGCTTGAGAGGAAAGTTAAGAGAGGGATGGATGTGTTAACAGAGCCAGAGGAGTTATATTAGAGCTATATAAGGCTACTTAAAGTCACACAGGGAAAACAAACTACAAAGAATATCTATATGGAGTTTAGGAAGAAGGTAAGGGGACTACAGTAAACAATAGTTTGAAGAGTTAACGTAGGTGTCAGGAAGAGTGGAAGAGAGGGACTCCAGGAGTGACCGGGGTGATGTTGAGGGAGCGAGGGAGGGCGGGTAATATACGCTGTTTATATACTGAACAATATGCGTGAGGCTGAAATTATGACTACCAGACAACTGGACTGTGACAGGTGTCGGGGTGATATAGATGGTCCATTGTGTAATAACTCATGAGGTAATAAACAAAACATTAGTTATACGAGTAATTTACATTATGAATGGATAACGATAACTAATACGTAATGTTTACTATGAACAGTTCCCGGGCCGCCCCAAGGCGTGGTAGTGGGAGTCACCACCGACAGCACTATCGAGCTGAAATGGAACGACCCTGCCATCAACCCTCTCTGTGTTCAGGAGTAAGTAACTCAACTCAGCACCGTTAGAGACGACCTCACTCTGGTGTTTATCCTCTGGGTAACAGATGAATTATTTGGGATACTGGTGCATTGCAGTTCCTCTTAACGATAGAATAACATTCACACAACCAGGTGAGACTCTTTACGGAGCACTGTTTCATCCCATGAAGCAAAGTCCATTTTAATAACAACTTTCCCTCTTATCGCGGCTTTTTCCTTCCTCAAGTATAATTCTCATCTCAGCATGATACTGTTCCCCTCTGAAATAATGTTGTCTTTGTCTACAGTTACTCCATCACATATGGTGAAGTTGTGTCAGACTCCCGCCAAGTGCTGGCTTCCATATTGAATATTAATATTGAGGGTGATGAACACTTTGACCGTCACGCTAACATTGGGCCTCTCTTAGCCTGCACCAACTACACCATTGAGATCAAATCCATCAACAAAGCCGGCACCGAGAGCACACCTGTCCTCAAGAACGCCGCCACTAATGAGACTGGTGAGTAATATTGTTAGCGCAGAGGGGACGAACGGCTGACATCTTTCATCCTACTTTAGATCTGGCGGGTCTCGGCTGAGTTCGAACTACATGTAGTCCTAACACTTAGTAACACGAAGGATCATTTTGCCAAGTCCAACACAACAGACACACAGAAGGAATACGCTCATGAATTTGTTACAAAAACACGTATACATTCATCGATACATCACATCCTTCTATTACCAGAGAATAATGTAAAACACACAGTTATTTCTTGGTTCACTTGTTCTTAGTCAGGCACCCGGGGAGAAGCACCTGATAAGCCAAGAGGATACACATCTGTTTTATGAAGTGTGTGATGAACCACGTGACGGTGTCCTCTGATGGTAAACATAACTAGGAAGTGACCCTTCATCTTGCTCTACACACCACACTTTATATAAGAATGATGAAGATGCATTATTTATCTGTGTAATAAGAGGTCATCGAATCCGCTACATTTAAAAAAAACTGTAAGTTTTATGTAGATGGTCCGGGAGGTCCGTATAATGAGCTGTGTTGCGCCCTGGATGGAGCACAGCAATAAAACAACTGCTTCCTTGTCTGCCCTTATTTACTTTAGTTTATAGAGAGAGTTTTAGCTGGTAATCTTAACTCATTTATATTAACAAATGATTGCATGCACTAGAGTGGATCGAAACGTCAATATTGCAAGGGGCTGAAATACAAATTGTATGGACAGATCCCTTGCCGCCTCCCTTTATCGTGGTGGATCCAAGCAGCCCGGACACCATCGACGTGCGCTGGGGTAAGAACGAGGGTGACCGCTGCGTCGGACATTATGTTATCTGCTGGAACGACGGCATCCATCCCGCTGATCAGTGTGAAGATGCGTTTGGAGGCAACATCACCATCACCGATCTCCTCGCCTGTACTCACTACGACGTCACCATCGAGGTGGTGACTCCTGGAGGCATCCACAGTAAGGACGTCACCAACTCTACCTATACTTTTGACATCGGTGAGTCACAACCATTATCACTATTCTCGGTGAGGGCCTAAGCTTATTTTAGTTATGATATATACATTCATTGCATGGGGTATATGTCTTAAATTCACTACCTGGCAACATAAACATCTACACCGTGAAATTTTCCCTTCATTTCGTTCATTTACGTTTCTTACGTTTACAATAAGATATTTACTAACACTCACTATTTCCTCAGCTCCCGGCGCCGTTAGCGACTTACAAGTGACCGATGTTCATAAGAATGAACTCACCATATCCTTCGACCCTCCCACCGTCAACGGTCAGTGTGTCAAGGAGTACGATATCCACGTCATCGACCTGGACTCGCAGGTGACGATGACCCGACTTGGAGGCCCGGAAACCATCGAGAACTTCATCACGGGTCTCCACTCCTGCACTAACTATGAAATCAAGGTTCGCTCCGTCTCTTCGACAGAAAAGGCGTCCGAGTGGTTGACAGTCCAGAACAGAACCCAGGATGATATTCCCTCTAAACCCCAACAGCTCGGGATGTACGACTCGACATCCTCCTCGATCTCGCTTGAGTGGTACAAACCTTCTTTGAACCCCAACTGCGCTTCTAAATATACACTAACATGGCAAGACTCTCAGGGACACTCCGCTCATGTGACGGTTAATGATCAAGGAACCTTCAAGCAGAGGTACACAGTTAATGGTCTCAAAACCTGTGAAACTTACACATTCAACCTATTGGCCGAGTCTAGTGCCGGCAAAAGTAACCCCGCCCGCTACAAGCAGAGTACACTCTGCTAGTTATGGTGCCGAGGCTCATGTTAGGTCTGTCGGCACCACCCGCCACCAAGACGACCGCTTCTTGTGCCAGCTAACAGGTCAAATGGGCTCTAGTCGTAATAAACTTCAGTCTTAATGGCCTCAGTCATATTGGTTAAGTTAGGTTAGGTTTGATTTAGGTTCATGTGGAGCATCAACATTTTGCCACACCCGAGTCCACTTCATGCTTAATTCTCACACACATCTACGCGGTTCTCAGACATATGGAGTTCGCGCTGTTATGGTTCACTTGTCCAAGGTCACCACACAGTGATGAATTTATGTCACTGGCGTGTTAAAGAACTCACCAAGATGTCGCACCATTGTTACTGAAGGTCACAAGAACTCACTGTAAAAAATTATATTAAGGTGTTTAATTATGTCCTCTTAAACTTGAGACTTATGACATGTTTAGGTTTTAAGAAATAATATATAACTCATTGGCTTTAGTTGCCACAAATGAATACTAACATTAAATTACAAAAACATATTGATTTTGTTTTTACTGGTATTATGTGTTGCTTTGTTTAAACAAAGATGACCAAACGTTGTTCATAACTTTCATTAACCACACCGAGAAAAAAAAGCTTTCGTTATCGGGGAAAGAATAATATATTTGGTCCCTTCAGGAAAGACGGACATTGTTCTGACTAACACAGCTAAGAATGACTGTAAAATATCCCAGTACCAAAACTGTTAAGGGGACTCTGTAAACACATACATCAAAGGACTTTGTAAACACCGTGTGCTCGTACAAGGGGCGGGGGAAAGCAGACTATGATGGCGGCTCTTCTTGGGGGCTCAGGTACTGTACAATACGAATGAAAAATTAATTATTTTTTTGCTTCCTGACTATTTTCACAAAGACATATTTTGTTTTTGTTGCTGTAGCTGTTTTATATTTAGAATAAACAGCGGAGAAGTTTGACAATTGCCTCACCACATTACCAGTGAGGGAGTTAGTTTGTCTTCCAGTACAAACACGAAAACAGTCCTCGCAGTGTTTTGGTAACGGAAGCTATTTAAAATTACTACTTAAGGTACATCTAATGTGTGTGATATAGGGGAAGACAACAAACTCTTCACATAACTGATTAACCCGTTGGGTGTCTGTCACGGATACATCCATGATGAAATGTTACCAGTACCTCATGGCATTACATGCGGTACAAGTAGCTTGATTTTTGTGAAGTGTTTCAAAAGAACTCTAGGATTATGTCTTGATAACACTGCCAACCCGGCGGGACATCGCTGCCGGCAACACATTACGGGACCAGGTGTCAATTCTCGCCTGACGCAAAAACACAGCATGTGACTTTGGCAATCTTTCCTGTCCCCTGATGAGACTTGCTCTTTCGTACGAGCCTGACTCAGATTGTGTGTGTGTGTGTGTGTGTGTGTGTGTGTATATATATGTATGTGTGTATGTGTGTGTGTGTGTGTGTGTGTCTGTGTGTGTGTACAGTGGGAATATATTCATATAGATATGATATAATTATGTACTGTGTATATCATGTATAAAAAAGATATGGATAGTGACAATGACACTCTGTTTTCACATGTATTTGCTAAGAACCAGGTCACGATCTCTTCAGCCAACTATGAACAGTAGATTCTTTTTTTTTTTTATTATTATTATTTTTTTACGGGGATTAGCCCATCCGGGCACAGGTAACTGACCCACATCAGGGCCTGGGGGCGAAAATGTAATAATAATAATAATAATAATAATAATAATAATAATAATAATAATAATAATAATAGTAATAATAATAATAATAATAAAGAAAAACAAAAATGAAAAAAAGATCAAGTGAAAAAAATATATGTATGTTGTATTGTCAATAATAAGAGAAACAATTGAGACCCTGCAATTGTGTGTAATTGAGGCAGAAAGTCAGATCAGCAACCTGGGACTTGGTAAAAAATTTCTTGACGCCATATAGTAGCAGGGCCTACAATAGACAACACATTATGCTTCCAATATCTCCCTGTTTGGTAGCTGCCTAATACCTACTACCTATAATTCATTGCGTCCTTTCATGATTTAAAAAAAAATGGAAGTTTGCCATTTCTTTCCCACTCAACTTTAAATTTAATGCTGGGGACCAATGAGTTAAGCTTCAGGGAAAAAACAAACATCAAAAGAACCCCAACATCTGTTCCAAATGGTGAAAAATGTCGTCAACATATTGATGCCATATCACCAATAGGTTTTATTTGAGGCATCAAGATGGATTCGAAATATTCCATGTAAACATATAATGGTTAGCGTTCACCGGAGATCCCCCCCCCACCACCAAACACACATTTAACAGCCAAATTGCTGGCGACCAAACTCATCTTTGAAAGATAAAAAAAATTGAAGAAACACAGTCTAATGCAGTGGCTCTCAACCTTTTTCACTCCATTGCCCCCTTGAGGAAACTCACAAAATCCTCATGGCCTCCCCTCCAGTTTTCTCCCCAACTCCCCTCAAATACTGATGAAAAATAAACTGTTCTGATCAGATGGAGAGAATACCCTTCTTTTATTTTGTTGATGGCAATCATCATTATCTAATATTTTGACAAGCCTACATAATTTACATAACTGATTTGTCACTAGACTCGAGTGACTAGACCAGCCTCACAACAAACTTGAATATGGTTTGGAAAAATGTTCCTATGACCTATGCATATTTTGTCACAGCTCAATGGGAAGGCTGACATTGTTTCCTTTCAGTCAGGCGATTGATTCGAGGTTGCGTCACGGACAAAGTTCATCTCATGTCCGGGTCCACATCCAATCGGTTCTGATTTTTACTCTTTATATTTAGAAGGGTGGAGAAACCAGACTCGTATAAATAGGTAGTAGAAATAACAAGAGGACTCGAAGTACAATCTCGCTAACTTTTAGATACGACTGATACATTGAGCACCAGAATACAGTCATCAAATTTTCTTCATAAGGGTCCTTGGGAGCAGAATTGTTCTTGAGATCAAGGAATTCGTCTTGAACATCATTAGGAATGGTAGCAATTTCTCCTTTCCTCTTCGAATTCTGGGAAGTACCTTTTGAGCTCGCTTCCAAGGATTTCAGTTTTGAGTGATGGGTCAAGCAGATGATCTTCTCACATATGGCAACATTTCCTGCATTCACTTTCCTTTGCCAATTCTAAAACTTGGCAAGAAATCCACGAAGACAATCCATGAGGAAACACACATTTCTTTCCTTGCCTTGTAGCTTGAGATTCAGCCTGTTTAGCTGCTCAAATATATCTGCTAGGTATGTAAGACGTGGTTCCCACAACACCTCATTGAAGTGACTTAAGAGATCATCCTTCTCTTACACTTCCAGGAATAACTTAAGCTCTTCCTGAAGTTCAAACACTCGATTCGCACCTTATAGTACCCTTGGAAAGCCAGTGAACTTTGGGGTAAAAGCGGAGGGCTTCATGCTCTGAATCCACGTCCCTACAGAGGTTCTGGAAAAGGCGAGAGTTCAGATCTGCTTTCACAAAGTTGAAACATTTGACCACTGCCTCCAGGATCTTGCAAAGTGCACCAGGGAGGGTTTTCGACACCAGTGCAAAACGATGAATCATACAATGAACCCCCTTGGCATTCGGAGCTACTTCCTTGACACACTTCTGGAACCCCGATTTCGATCCCAGCATCGCCGGAGTCCCATTCGTACTGACTCCGCAACAATTTTCCCAGGTGATCCCGCTGGCTGTGAAGAAAAAAGACAGCTTTTCCATCACATCTACACCTATTGTGGTGATCTCAAGCTGTGTACAAAACTATTATTCATCCTTGATTTCGGACGAGAAAACATACCTAACAAACACGAGCAGCTGTACACAAGAACTAACGTCCGTTGACTCATCCAGCTGTATTGCGAACATACCAGTTGGAGACGATTTGATCTCCCGTATCACTTGTTCCTTTATGTCATTCAACATTTCACTAATTCGCCTTTCACCGTGTCGCTTGACAAGGAAATCTGCTGCATCTTACGTTTACTTGCCTCTCCAAGAACCCGCTTGACCATCTTTAAAGTACACAGCTGAACTAAAGTTTCACCAATTGTGTGGGCCTTATTCTGCTATGCTATTTCGAGGAAAACCTCATATGATGTCTCAACTACACTCAAGGCCTGTTGTTGGAAAGAACCACTCTCGTCCAGTTTCTGTTTTCCCAAACTCCGTTCATGGCACTTGAAGAAATTCCCCACATTTTCTTGAAACAATACAACTTATAACAGCCCACCATGGTCCCCCTAAAATCTTGCCGTGGCCCCCTTGGGGGTCATGGCTCACCAGGTTGAGAGCAATAATCTTGGGTCGTGGTAATGGAAGTTGCTGTTGCTCTTCCATTAACTTATTTTCTAAGAAAGCAAAAAACACCTTCTACTGGTACTCTAGTGAAAAGGGTAACCACATCTAGACTCAGCACTTTTAAATTTTGAAAGTTAAAGCCTTTGAAGAAAGAGACAACGAAAGTAAAGGAGGAAGCGGCGGGTGCAGGAGAAGAAGGGGGATGTTATTTCCTGTCTGTAGATCGCCTACTAGCACACCTACGGCCTAGTAAGGCTGAGAACGCTTGCGTTACGCTGCTTGTTAAACTATTACTATAAGCACTATGAGAGAAGTGTTAGTGTGGGGAGAGACGTACTGTAGAGAGAAGCTGACCGCTGTAGGAGGGAGGGGCATACTTTTAAGAGGGGGGAAGCATTTCAGGGGACGGAGAACACGCTATAAGGGGCAGGGACCAATGTGGTAGAGGCAGGGAGATCTTTATAATAGATTACAGTACGTGTACGTCCTGTGTGTTGTAGAGCCTACTTATTAGTCATCCGTCGTGCTAGAATGTGTTTGTGTTGTTCTTTGGAACGATCTTCCCAACCAGTTCGTCTGATACTATGCGGGAGGATAAACTTACTGATAATACGATCTGGGAGCTTTGTGGATAGAAAATTTCTCACAGCCGGGCGATAGAGTTACTTGTTCCCTCTGAGGGTCCTCAAAGGAGATATTATTGGCTTTAAGGAGCTCGTCATACTCTCTTTATTTGTGGGTGCTGGGGGACGGTGCGCACCACATCAAATACAGTACGTCAACCTAGGCACGGAGAAGCACTTTGTTAGAGATAATTGCCAGGTGATCAATTCCTTCTTCTATCTTTTTCAAAGGGAGGTTTCTGTTTTGGAGAACGACGGTTATCGTGCCGACGCTCTGGGTGCCCCGACCAGCACTATTCTTGGTCGGGTGGATGGCTCAGGCGTCCAGTCGTGCTGTGGTGTGTCTCACCACTCCAACCGAGATACAGTAGTTACACTTTTGGAGGTAGTGGTCTGAGTGTCTCCCAGTGGTCATTTACTCGTTTGTCTCCTGAAACTGTATGTTGAGTTTTCTTGATAGACTCTGAACGCCGTTGTCGTTAGGCAAAAACGTAGTGGGACAAGAGGAACCCTTTGTGAATGTCTTCCGCTGATAAATACAACCACACACACACATATATATATATATATATATATATATATATATATATACGAGTTGGGGATTTAGAATATAGTTAAAAGTCTACCCAGATCCCAACAGGCAACAACAAAAAAAACCCCAGACAATCGGACTATAAAAGGGTAGACAAAGGATGAGAGTTTATGTTGTGTATAATAAAGTACCATAAATTCCTAAACAAAATATTCAGCTTTCTATAATTTACCCTTAACCATACTTAACCTAAACATTAACAGTATATACATATTTATACAACATACAATAATTTGAAGCAAGGTGGAGGGGGGGAGGCAATATAAGATTACAAATACTTAAGTGCGGAGCTGAGATGGCTGACGAGTAAGGCTGAGTATTGTATAAAGCGGTAGGTAGTCACTGTGCCGTAGGTTTCCAGGATAGGTGATCCTGTGGTCACTTCCCAGAGTGAACTGAACTCTCATCGAACTGGAGCTGACGAAGAAAACTTTGAGGAGGTGACGCAACAACCAGGATATGGAGAAGGGAAACCCCGGAGTGGTAACTAAGACGAGTCATACTCGTGTTTCGTCCCTAGATGGCGTTGCTCGTTGTGCTGGGTAGGTAGATCATGACAATTGGTGGCGGGGTTCGTAACAATATATATATATATATATATATATATATATATATATATATATATATATATATATATATATATATATATATATATATATATATATATATATATATATATATATATATATATATATATATATATATATATCTATATATATATATATATATATATATATATATATATATATATATATATATATATATATATATATATATATATATATATATATACACACTCACACTGAAGGGCACAATCTTAGGGACTCAAGCACGCACACACCTGTTTATTCACACCAGAGACGCCAGCAATTAGAGCAGTGCGTCAGTTGTGTCTTACTGATTCTTGAGCACTTTGCTACCAGGACACAGAGGCTAAAGTTGTGTGACGTTATCACGTAAACAGTTTGTTAAATAATTTTCAGTCAGTTTCGGATTTTTTCATTTTTAAGCCTTCGTGAAGATGTCAGGTTTATATAGCCTCAGCGTAATGGTTTCAGTCCAGAGATTCTCCGGCACTGAACCAGAGAACAACTGCACAAAATCTCTCTGGGTGAAGCTGTCATTTGCACTATGAAAATCTTCCTCTACTTAGCGGCCGTTGCTCTCTGTTCTGCGCAGGATTTCGGTGAGGCTTTTATTAACAACAAAGTTGTATTTAATCCACATTATTTGTAACATTTTTAACATATTTTATATTTTAAAGATTTATTATCTGTGGATAAAATTGGGGACTTGTGAAGTTTGTCTTGAGAAATAAACTATACGAGTGGGAGTTAGTTAACACTTAAGTGGCTCACAAGTTGTCTTCCACAAGTACTTGGGAAAGTTTATCAAGTTTCACAGATCGATGATGACCTCTGCCTTACCCTACACGAGGGAGGTGTTGACTGTTCCTAACACGGAGGTAGAGACTTTTGTTCCACACATGGATAATGAACACAGCGCTTTGTTCCATGCATAAATCACATGACGTTTCCCTTCCACACACCCAGGAGGCAAGAGACACTCTTAGTTTACAAGACACAATGTAACAGTACAAAGCCCGCTTCTCGTCCTTCACTCTCAGACTCACAATGCTCAGATGAAAGTGTCATCCTCACTGGCTCACTCAAGGAATGTCATAATTCAATATAATTTACAAAACATAACGAGTTAATAAGATCTTGTAAATCTAGCCATAACAAAACTCGTAAGCAACATCTTCCTCAACAGGTCACATCGAGAACCTGCAGGTAACGAGTGGTGATGGCTCCATAACACTGGAGTGGGACTTCGTGGCAGGAGATCCTACATACAAGCTCCACAAGTACACTATTCTTACCGATAATGACTTCAGCACTGATCTCCGCTGTCCTGCTGCTCACTGTACAACCATCATAGACTACCTTGATGCCTGCAAGGAACACACCTTTGATGTAACTCCTGTTTTTGATGACACAGTGAATGGCGGGTCAGTTAACGGAGACACCTCCTCCATCAGTGGATTTACTAACGATCTACGTAAGTCTGGGACTGGAATACTGCATGTGTTAATATATTACCTTGTGTGAATGTTTATGTATATCATCCTGTGAATGTGTACATTACGTATTGTGTTATTGTATTGGTGTCAATGTATATGTATTTTGGAGATATATATTACTCTTAAAATACAGAATACATTTTTCTTCCATATAAGTATCTAAGCAAACACTAATGCTTATACAGTCAACTGAATGAATGTTTATGCATAACTTCTCACTCGAGCAGCGCCGAGCTCCCCCTCCAACCTGAGGGTCCTCTCGGAGGACGACTCGGGTACAACTCTACAATGGGACGCCCCCACCAAGAACCCAATATGTGTCCAGTCCTACAAGGTTTGCTACAGGCTGGATAAGGACCCGACACCCACCTGTGAGACGGTAAGTGAACAGGTGTGGTGAGGGAGAGTGGTAGGTGGTGGTGAGGGAGTATGGTAGGTGGTGGTGAGAGAGAGTGGTAGGTGGTGGTGAGGCAGTATGGTAGGTCGTGGTGAGAGAGAGTGGTAGGTCGTGGTGAGGCAGTATGGTAGGTGGTGGTGAAGCAGTATGGTAGGTGGTGGTGAGGCAGTATGGTAGGTGGTGGTGGTGGGGTGGACATATGGTGGGTGGTGGTGGAGAGAGGTGTGTGGAGTGCGCGGTGGTGGGTGAGGCAGTATGGTGGGTGGTGGTGAGGGCATTATGGTGGGTGGTGGTGGGGCAGTATGGTGGGTGTTGAGGCAGTATGGTGGTATGGTGGGTGGTAGTGAGGCAGTATGGTGAGGTGGTGGGGCAGTGGTAGTGAGTGGTGCAGTATGGTGGGTGGTGTGTATGGTGGGTGAGTGGTGAGGCAGTATGGTAGTGGTGGTTAGGCAGTATGGTGGGTGGTGGTGAAGGCAGTATGGTGGGTGGTGGTGAGGCAGTGGTGGGTGGTGGTGGGGAGTGGGGCATGGTGGGTGGTGGTGAGGAGGCAGTATGGTGGGTGGTGGTGAGGCGGTAGGTGGGTGGTAATTGAGGTGGTGGGTGGTGGTGAACAGTATGGTGGGTGGTGGTGAGGCAGTATGGTGGGTGGTGGTGATGGTGGTATGGGGGTGGTGGTGGGGGCGTGTGTGGTGGTGAGGCAGTGGTGGAGTGGGTGGGTGGTGGTGAGGGTATGGTGGGTGGGGGTGTGGGTGGTGGTGTATGGTGGGTGGTGGGCATGGTGTGAGGTGGGGCAGTATGGAGTGGGGTGTGGTAGTATGGTGGGTGGTGTTGGGCAGTATGGTGGGTGGTAGTGGGGCAGTATGGTGGGTGGTAGTGATGATGCCAGTGTTGAGTGAGTTGGTGGGTGGTGGTGAGGGCACACAGACGGCAGTATGGTGGGTGGTGTGGGGCAGTATGGTGGGTGGTAGTGAGGCAGTATGGTGGGTGGTGGTGAGGGCAGTATCAAGCAGTATGGTGGAGTGGTGGTGGGGGCGGTGGTGGGGTATGGTAGGTGGTAGTGAGGCAGTATGGTAGGTGGTAGTGAGGCATTATGGTAAGTGATGGTGAGGCAGTATGGGAGGTGGTGGTGAGGCAGTATGGTAGGTGGTGGTGAGGCAGTATGGTAGGTGGTGGTGAGGCAGTATGGTAGGTGGTAGTGAGGCAGTATGGTAGATGGTGTTATATATACCAGTTTTTGGTGATGTTCGCCTCACACAGACGGAGGACACCACCATCACCCTGGCTGGTCTACAAGCCTGCGGCAAGTATCACGTGACTGTGACGCCCGTGACGCCCAGTGATACAGAGGGACCCCAGCTGGAGCAGGACGTCACCACTGAGGATGGACGTAGGTCGATCCACCTGTTGGGAATTACAGTGAATTTCTTTGTTACCTTAACTACATTCATTAGGAAGAAGGAAATTTTAGTATTTAGATAGCATCAGCTGAATATTAAGCCAGCCAATTTCTAGACAGTCATGCATATCATCATTCAAAAAAATAAATTAGAGGTAGGTGGTCATAAAACATTGCTATAAGACTTAATTTTGCAGAATCTTATGACCGAGAAAATTTACGTGTTGCTTGGTTAGGTTAAGTTGAATGAATCAAACAACGAGAACACTAATACTGAGGGTTTGCTATGAACAGTACCAGGGCCGCCCCAGGACGTGAAGGTGGGAATCACCACCGACAGCCTCATTGAGATGGAATGGAACAACCCTGCCATCAACCCTCTCTGTGTTCAGGAGTAAGTAACTCAACACGGACAGGGACTACCCAGATATTTTTGTGTCATCAAGTTGATGAAATATTAGTTCTTCCACTCACCCAGGCGATGCCCTCCAAGTAGTAGCGTCATCACAGGCTTCCCTCCTCGCGTGACACAGTTCCTTCATAACAATAACTATCTCTCTTTGGTGGCACCGTTACTCCTTTCAAGGATTTTCTATCCTTAATTGCTTCATTAACATTAACCTTCACTCCAGAATGGCACTGTATCTCCTAAACTACTACTTTCCGTTGTAAGTGACACTGTCCCTCAAGCACAGCTTTCCCACTATTCTTGTCCACAGTTACTCCATCACTTATGGTGAGGTCGAATCCCGACGCCGCTTCAGCAGCCACCAAGTGGAGGACTTTGGTGATGACTACGATCACCACGCTAACATCGGCCCCCTCGAACCCTGTACTGAGTATATCATCAACATAACTTCTATCAGCAAGAATGGCCTTAAGAGCGAGTCAGTCAGCAGTGAGGCAGCGACCATTGATACTGGTGAGAAACTGTTCATGTAGCGATGACGAGATCCTAAACAAAATGCATGTTGGGTTATTTCAATAATTTAACCTTGAACTATACCGTGGGAACTTTATGTTGTTTCCGTTGGACAGAAATTTCGTGTGGGGAATGTATTGTCAAGACTTGTGGGAGTCGTTCTATTCATGACGAGAATGTTTTGCCTGATTTTATGTTGATGCGTTGAAACAAATACTTCTAAACACAGATATAATAGCGCTCACACACGCACACACGCACACGCACACACACACACTTTAGATATCATTAAGTATAAGACGTCGATAGAATAAGAAAATCACACGTTCTTTACAGACAGAAACTTTGTTGTGAATACTCATACGTTGGAATATTAAATGTCTCTTTGTATGATGGTGCTGAAGTACAGTTTGTTTGGGCAGATCCACAGCCGCCTCCCTACGTGGTACTCGACTCACCCGACTCGGACACCATCGACGTAGAATGGGGCGTGAACGAGGGCGACCGCTGCGCTGGATACTACATTGTATGTTGGACCGACGACATCACAAAAGTGGAGGTGTGTCAGAATGTGACGGATGGTGGCAGCTTAACCATTAGTGACCTCCTCGCCTGTGCACTTTACAACGTGAGCGTAACGGTGGTCACCCCAAGCGGCATCCCCAGCAACACCGTCACCAACCACACCTACACTAAGGAGCTTGGTGAGTACTTACATCTTTCTTTTAGGCTCGTGGCAATATTTCTTGATTTTTTATTTAAATATTTTTGAAGGAAATTTTTTTCATCTACTGTACTATGAATAAGACTTATTGGTCTGGGAAATGAAAATTTACACAGTGTTTTAACGTAAAATTCAATAATTGCGAGGAAGTGTAGCTTGAGGTAGTTCCTCTAGACACTGTGTTCAAGTCCACTGTTTCAGGTTAGGTTAGGTTATATTTAGTCAAAGAATAATAGGCTAAGAAGAAAAAGAAGAGTCTGATTACCATTTCAAGAAGAAGTTTGCTTCATTAACCGGACCACAAAAAGACTTGTTTACGGTAACTGAAACAACTTTCCTTTTAGAAGGTTAATAGAAAGACATAAGGCCACTAGCCAAAAAGAAACTTCTTCGATGATGATATTCACAACCATTGCGGAACCTCACAGTTACTGTGTCATGTCGTCAGTTATCTCCTCTCACCCGTTATTACACTGTTTCCCACAGCAAGTCTGCGTTACCAAAGTTTCCCTTTTATATACTATGAAATTGTTTGAATATAACTTCATATTATAAAATGAATTTGAAATGTAAGAAACCAAATATCTGGAAAGTTTCGTATAACTAAACAGACTAATGATTACCGTGTTCTTTCAGCGCCCGGACCCGTCCAGAACGTTCAGGTGATCGAGGCTCACCTGAGTTCTCTAACAGTGTCCTACGAGGTGCCCGTGACCAACCCGCAGTGTGTTGGTGCCTACGACACTCGAGTGATCAACCTTGACAAGTTGGACAACTCAGCCAAGAAAGTGACCGAAGGTGTGGTGAAAACAAACACCATCGCCGGCCTTGAGCCATGCACCAACTATGAAATTGAAATTGCTGCTGTTAGCCATAGCGGCGAGTATATGTCTGTCTGGAAGAAAGTCGATGGCAAAACTAAAGATGGTACTCCCTCTGAACCACAAAATATCTCAGTGAAAGACGCAACTATTGACTCGCTCACACTCCAGTGGTTCGAGCCTATTACTAACTCTCCTTGCGTCATTCAGTACGACCTTACCTGGACGGACGGTATTAACACCGGTTCCGCAAAAATTTCAGATGTAACGAGTAATAAATTTGAGTACACAATTGAAGGCTTAAATTCATGTGACGAATACACAATCACCCTCTCTGCCAAGTCCACGACCAGTGAGAGCCGCACAAAGAAAATCATTCAAAAGACCGACTGTCCCTAATTGTACGGTAACATCTGGGTCTTCCGCCCACCAGAGACCATTGTGCCACACCTGAGCCTACGTCATACTTAGCTCACACACGTTTACGTGATTTATACTGTCTTTGCTGCTGTAGCCTTACTCAGTATGATATAAAATTTTCTTGACAGGATCATCACTTTTCTTTCACACAAATCCTGAGTGTTTGGGTTCTACAAACTTTGGCTTTACGTTACCTGATCATCCACACCAGATAACCGAAACTTGCCTCTCACCGCTGCCATAATGTTAACTACAAGTACACGAACAATTATAATACCTTAGTCTATCCTTCACTGAACCAGAGAGAGAAATGTGATAATTTTTTTTGATAACAATGAATATTGTAATGTTGAAGCCGATAATAAAATGTAATAAGGATTTTAGAGTTAATATTGAATATACTACTACTACTACTACTACTACTACTACCTTTTTTTTTATATGGCCTCAAGCCTCTCCCAATAGCCACACCGCCGCCATTTTATTACCTTAATATTGAACATCCTAATACATAAGTAGCTATCCTATCTGTGTTGAATTAGTTGAGCCGCAGATCTATGAGGCATTCAGTGACTGTAGCCTCATAGTCAATATCTGCAACTGTTGTCGGCTTTGGGGCCGATGCTGTCGTTCCCCTGAGGCAGAGCAAAGCTGACCGAAGGAGAGAGAAGGACAGCCGATATCTCATCCAGGCTGTAACATAACTTCTGGGCTGCTGCTTCTGTTCGGATATTACCTCCGTGAGTCTGGCGTAGACTACTACTACTACTACTGTGTTAATGCTAGTATTACTACAACTACTATTTCCACTGATATCATCAATAAGTGAAGGCAATCCCACTAGAGCCAGAAGATCCTACGGGGTCAAGGAAACAAACTGATCATCTAGTTGGACCTTAATGTTGGCCTCACGAGGGACAGCCTTGGTCTCTATACGAACGCCTTAGTTCTAACAATTCTTTAGTGGAGCTCAGAGAAACGTTCACTCACGACGACAAACGAGAGAACAGGTGGAGGTATATTACCTGTCTTCTGGACGATGATGACAATGGGATAGATAATTACTCTTCTTTTCACTGGTTTAATCTCTCGTGCACAGTACCTCCCGCCTCTGCCTCCTCTCACACGGAACTCTCCATACAGGTAACAATGCATCTATTACTGATTGGTCAAACACCTTACTACATTGATTTCGTCTCATATTAGTCAACTATGATGTTCATTTCTACAATTTCTTTCTTTGGTAATAATAATAATAATAATAATAATAATAATTATAATGATAATAATAATAATAATAATAATAATAATAATAATAATAATAATAATTATAATGATAATAATAATAATAATAATAATAATAATAATAATAATAATAATAATAATAATAATAATAATAATAATAATAATAATAATGATTAGAGTATAATTATATAACAAATACACCATTTTAGATGACGTAACTAGACGTTGAGGGAACCTTAATATGTATATGGCTACCTCACGTTCAAAATGTAAATAAAGAAAAACATTCATAACATTTTCGAGATGGCGTCCATTTTGGATGTTGCACCATAATGTCAAACAAGCAAAATGTTCATGGTCTTACTGCCATGATCATGACACTGTTCATACGTTGCACCATCTCTATTGGTTCATCAGCCAAGAGCATATTTTCCACACTAATATAAAAGTTACTAAAATAGCCTTAACTGAGGTCAACTCCTCCAGGTGTCTCTTAACCCGGCCTTTGGTAAAGTATTAATAGGAATTACAGCTTTGGAGGACCTCAAATTAAAGCTCGATAACTTCCAGTATGTTGACGAGTGAGGATGATGAACAGTCTCAGATCAGTTATGTGGAGACTGATGCACGCGGCCTAGTTACCCTCATGGCTTTAAAAAAGTATTCCATAACAATATATATATCGTCATACAGCTCTCCCTAAAATCTATTTCCTGAGACTTCGTCACTTGTCACTCCCCTTCAATCAATACTTCCTCTCAGGTTGCCATCACAAGGTCGAAGTATGTCGTCGTTTTGGGGCCCCCTTAACTTGTGGAGTGCCTCAGGGCACACGGCTGGGTTCACTTAATTTATTGGCTTTCATAAAACTTTTTGCACAGAAAATTTGTTGATGATCTTACTGTTCTTAGTGTCACCAGACCTGCTTCAATCTGTAACACTAATTAATCATTACAGATCAACAAATTGGATTGAACAGATCGTGCTGAACGCAGGATCTACTAAGACAGCCAGAACGATGTTTGTTATTTATGGCGATAAATAACTCAGCTTCTGAAGTGCCATATTAGTTATAATATATATGAAATATAAAGGACAGGATATGCTCCTCCTGGTGACATCCCAGACACAACACCAAAGCGAAAGAATAGAAAAGCCACAGAAACCTGGGTGTAGATTTTTTTGATGAAGGTATGACTAAGTCACCACTAGGCTCCCCAGACATAAAACTCACAATTACTGTATCACTGACGGGTGTAAGGCTTAAAAGAGCAGTATTAACCAACCCTATAAACCGACACCTCCTGCCACCCTCTGCAAGTTCCATTCATTGACGAAAGTTACATCACTCCAGGCCACCAGTAGAGCCAAGATGCAGTACTGAACATTACCTGAGGATCATCCCATACGCAACACATTTATTAAAAAAAGAAAGAAAAGAAACTGGTGATGAAGGCCGTTTTATCACTTATCAAATTTTCTTTGTGTGACAGTGACCTAAACTTTTATCCTCCCTTGATGTCTCACTGGCCTTTAGTAACCACGCCGTAGCTGTGCGAGTGTACAACACATGCATAGATTCAAGGTTGTTGTTGTATTTGTGTGATGTTAAAAAGAAAAATATTCATATCTTGACCATATCTAGTTCTTGTCTCGTCAAGGTTAATGTCTAATGCTTTTTACTGTAATCTATGAGCCAGTCGTATACGTATAGTTCCCTCAATTAAATTAGTATACATATCATTATTATTATTGTTATTATTATTATTGTTATTATTAATGTTTTTATTAATAATAATAATAATAATAATAATAATAATAATAATAATATTAGTATTATTGTTATTATTATTGTCATTATTATTGTTATTATTATTGTTATTATAATCATTATCATTATTATTATTGTTATTATCATTTATTATTATTATTACTATCAATATCATTATTACTCTTATTATTATTCACTCATTGGAACCCTATAATGGACGCACCTGCATGTTCACAACACGGCGGCAGAAATACAAGCATGTGTCAAGAACCCCTCTAGAACATTCTGTTGTAGGCACACAGCGACAGAACTCCTGTGACAGACACAAGGTAACAACAAGAGAATCGGTTTTTTTTCAGAAGTTGCATTCAGGTCAGTGCTTGAAGTTCCTCAATCAAGGTTCAAGCAATACGTAGCCTAGATAAGGAGCTTTAAAAGGGCTCTGCATTACTATCTCAGTCCACAACATTTCTTCTTCAGTATCGAGTAAAACAGGACCAGACCCGGTGCAAAGTTGTCATTAGTGCCATGAAGATTCTGGTGTACCTGTTGGCGGCCATCACTGTCTGCCCCGCGCAGGACCTTGGTGAGGCTTTCATTCCAAATATTCCACAAACTTTGTATTATTTCTAACTTACTTTACGTTGATGAAGAACCAAGGATCCATTCTCCCTCTCTCTCTCTCTCTCTCTCTCTCTCTCTCTCTCTCTATTTCCAGCCGAGCAATTTTTAATCTCACTACATCCAAATCCTAATCACAAGAGACGGTGGGCATCTAAACAATTTATTCTTTATCGCTAAGTTGGCATCCAAGATTAGTCACTGGTTTAGTCATGTATTTAAAAACAAGACCTGGATAGGAGTGAATCCAACAACAACAAACAGATAAAAGACATAAAAAGTGAGCAAATGAAGTAATTAGTCATTGTTGTTAAATAGATGGGCCGCCTCAGCAACAAGGACTGTGTATGCCTCCCGCCTGCATGCTGTCAGTAACTCAGCTTGGTGTAGGGAACAGGGCGAGTGCAGCGAAACCACCCAGCTGGGGGCGCTGTAAGTGCACTCAGAATTTATTTTTAAATCTGACCAATATCATGGGCATTTTGAGGCCATTTTGAAGCCATGCGCACGAGATATTAGGAGATATTCTAAAGTCTATAGTAAATACTTTTACTCTTCAAAAATGCCTGATTACAATACGGCATTAAAGAAAAAGTATTGGAATTTTCTGGTAAAAAGGGGCGGTCCGGACCCCCACGACCCCCATGGATCCGCCCTTGCAATCCGGTGTAGATTTGTTCCACTGTTAAACATTAGTAGACACACGGCGTTGTAGACGAGTCTTAATTTTAAACACTAGAGAGAAGTAGAACCATCACGGATGATATACAGCAGAGACGTAGATAGAGTGAGTTTAGACATCCAAAACGCAGGCACCCTGTTGTTTACTGAGCGGGTACGAAGTCTTCTCGGGCCGTCTCCAGTATAATGATCGGATTTATAATTAATCACATTATATGGGTAAACATTTATTATTGCTAATTTTATATACTATCTGCAGAAGTCAATCGATATTAATCCATGTTGATAGTAGAAAGTGAGTTATCTGAAGAGCAAAATGGATTTATGATGTGAAAAGGAAATCGAGAAGCCATATTTAGTTTAAGAATTTTCCCTGAAACGTCCAAAGAAATTTGTACTTCGGCTTTGTTGATTTTGAAAAAGCTTTTGGTAAGGCAAAGCACAATAAACTTATAGGGATCTTGGAAAAAAAATAGGCATTAAGGAAGGGAATAAAGCGGGGACCTTCCTGGAAATAAGCACCTGACAGCTTTGTCGGCTGACCGTGGTCAATTTGCCTTACTGTTTACCATTGCCGCACTGTCTCGGCACATAGGAAACTGTATATTCTCACAGCCTACCTTGTACACCGCATACAGTCCCAACATTGACTATATTCATGTTGAACTGTACAGTTTATAAACATGCTTATCCAATTGTAAACATGTATAACAACTTTACTGAAACATCATCATCATCAACAGCTCTTACCTTACCATCAAAACCATTATATAATATATTATCACGTATTTAGACATCACCATTTCAATAGTTATATACTGTATATAAACTCTACTGTAAAATATATATATGCTTATAATATTAATGTAAACAATTAAAATGAAAATAAACAAATAAAGAAATAAAAAATGATAAGCGTGGTAACATTCTCAAATGTATTTACTAACACCATGTTATGTGTACTAATCCAGATGATATCAAATGTTAGATAATACTTCCTTGAGATACATGTACAGTATACATCAGGTGCCACTAATACAGCTCAGGCGCTAAACTGGTTCAGTCATGTCAATATTGTTATTATTGTCCACTCTGTACCTGCATTTTTCTGGCTAAATAAACTTTTTCGATATCCATATCATCAGCTGAGTAACAACATGGTGAGCACACGTCAAAGACCGGTTCAACTAAACCGTGATAAAGGAGTCAAAGGTGTTTAAAGCAATTGTTAAGAGCACTCTGTAGGGTGAATAGGACGTAGAAGGTAAGGAATATAGAAATGAGAAAGAGCTGAAGATAATAAAGAGCTGGTCAAGGTTAAATGAAGTGTATGAATATACTGCAAGAATGGAAAGTGAAAGATCGGTGAAAAGAGGATGATGATAAGAGGAAGAAGGAAGAGAAAGAAGGGATTGAAAGGATTAAATATTAACACTAGTAGTCAGGGAATGAACCTACAGGAAGCAGCTTTTTACAGGTGAGCCTCGTGTCTCGTAGTTTATGAGGACGACACCACCTGAAAGTGATGTATTGTACGTAAGTGACTGAAAGAATAATCTAGTTTTGCTCCGGGTAGACTGTATCCCGTACCCTGTGTCCTGAAACATAGCAGGAAAAAGGAATATATATATATATATATATATATATATATATATATATATATATATATATATATATATATATATATATATATATATATATATATATATATATATATTACCCAATTAATAATATCTTTTTACCTGGCGGCTGGTTTTTACAAATATTTCTCCTATTGGTGTTTTGATTTATTTTACTGTGGTGCGTCAATGACTTGAGGTAAACAGGATGTAGAACACTCAATACTAAAATCTTGTAAATCTAGCCATAACAAAACTCGTAAACAACATCTTCCTCAACAGGTCACATCAAGAACCTGCAGGTAACGAGTGGTGATGGCTCCATAACACTGGAGTGGGACTTCGTGGCAGGAGATCCTACATACAAGCTCCACAAGTACACTATTCTTACCGATAATGACTTCAGCACTGATCTCCGCTGTCCTGCTGCTCACTGTACAACCATCATAGATTACCTTGATGCCTGCAAGGAACACACCTTTGATGTAACTCCTGTTTTTGATGACACAGTGAATGGCGGGTCAGTTAACGGAGACACCTCCTCCATCAGTGGATTTGCTAATGCAAAATGTAAGTGGGTGTGTGAGTGTGTATGTGTAAACGCCTCTTAAGCTGCTTACAGGTACATGAAGGCGTATCTTAATGTGTCTGCCAAATTGTTTGGATTTTTAACAGTTCTGTTCAATGTCCATGTTTGTGGGTATTTAATATTTTCTAATATTCTTGTAAATACTCGTATGTCCATTTCGATGTTTTTTAATACCTTAAGATGTTTATAATCAGCTGAGTTGCTGTTTATGTATTATCATTTTTGACTCGAGCAGCGCCGAGCTCCCCTACGAACCTGAGGATCGTCTCGGACGGTGACTTGAGCACAACTCTACAATGGGACGCCCCCACCCAGAACCCAACGTGTGTTCAGTCCTACAAGGTTTGCTACATGTTGGATAAAGACCCGACCCCCTCCTGTGAGACGGTAAGTGAACAGGTGTGGAAAGGGAGAGTGGTAGGTGGTGGCGAGGCAGTAGGGTAGGTGGTGGTGAGGCAGTGTGGTAGGTGGTGGTGAGGCAGTATGGTATGTGGTGGTGAGGCAGTATGGTAGGTGGTGGTAAGGGATAATGATAGGTGGTTGAGAAGGATAATTGTAGGTGGTGGTGAGGCATTATGGTAGGTGGTAGTGAGGCAGAATGGAAGGTGGTGGTGAGGCAGTATGGTAGGTGGTAGTGAGGCAATATGTTAGGTGGTGGTGAGGCAGTATGGTAAGTGATGGTAAGGCAGTATGGTAGGTGGTGGTGAGGCAGTGTGGTGGGAGGCATGGTGGTGGGAGGAGGCATGGTAGGTGGTGGTGGAGGCAGCATGGTGGTGGTAGGGAGGCATGGTAGGTGATGTAGAGGGAGTATGGTAGGTAGTGCATGGTATGGAGGCAGTATGGTATTGGGTGGTGGTGAGGCAGTATGGTAGGTGGGGTGGAGGCAGTATGGTAGGTGGTAGAGGCAGTATGGTAGTGGCAGTGTGGTAGGTGGCAGGAGGCAGTGTGGTGGTGATGAGCAAGGTGGTGGTAAGGCAGTTGGTAGGTGGTGGTGAGGCAGTATGAGGTGGTGGTGAAGCAGGCATGGTAGGTGGTGGTGAGTGAGAGGTGGGAGTTGAGAGGCAGGGTAGGTAGAGGGCGTGTGTGGGTAGGTTAGCAGGTGTGTGAGGCAGATGGTGGGTGGTGGTGAGACGTATGGTAGGTGGTGGTGAAGCAGTAGGTGGTGGTGAGAGAGAGTGGTGGTGAGGCAGTGTGGTGGTGAGGCAGTATGGTAGGTGGTGTGTGAAGCAGTATGGTAGGTGGTGGTGAGAGAGAGTGGCAGGTGGAGGCAGGTAGGTGGTGGTGAGGTGGCAGGTGGTGGTGAGGCAGTATGGTAGGGTGGTGTTATATATACCAGTTTTTGGTGATGTTCGCCTCACAGACAGAGGACACCACCATCACCCTGGCTGGTCTACAAGCCTGCGGCGAGTATCACGTGACTGTGACGCCCGTGACGCCCAGTGATACAGAGGGACCCCAGCTGGAGCAGGACGTCACTACCAGGGATGGGGGTAGGTCGACCAACCTGTTGGGAACGATAGTGAAGCTCCATGTTGCTTTAACCACATTGTTTTTTAGACCGTATGATGTTTAAACCGACAGCAGACCACTACTGACGCTTATAATTTAACTGGGTAATCTACAGTAGGTCAGACTTGGGTGACATAAGGCTACTGTTCACATATACTACGAGTGAGAAGCTAAAATTATTACAGTACCAGCAGGCTGGATGGATAGATACTGTAGACCGAAGCTTACATCAGGGTGATATAAGTGGTCTGCTTAATAATAAGTAAGACAATGAAGATGATGAAATATCATTATTAATACTATAAGTGAAACACTAATACTGAGGGTTTGCTATGAACAGTACCAGGGCCACCCCAGAACGTGAAGGTGGGAGTCACTACCGACAGCATCATTGAGGTGGAATGGAACGACCCTGTCGTCAACCCTCTCTGTGTTAAGGAGTAAGTAACGCAACCATAGACGACCACCAGGAAATAATTCACACTTAAGCAGGTTTTTTCGTATAGAGAGGTAAACACAGCGGTTTTAACATTCATAGGTGATGTCCTATAGATAGTGTTTTTGTTCCTAAAGTAACAATGTCTACAAAATTTGCACCGATGTACAGTCTCGTTAAAGATTCTTGGAACACTGCTGGGGACAGCTGGCAACTCACGGCCGTTTGTTTACTATAGTACGAAGTAAAAATTATGAAGGAATGTAAAAGTGTTCGGTGATTGGTTACTTAGTTCCCTGTTGCTTAATTAATGGTTGGGCTTTGTTGTTTCGTATTATATTATACTTCGTACTATAGTAAACAAGCGGCCTTGAGTTGCCAGCTGTCTCCAGCAGTGTTCGAAGAATCTTTAACGAGACTGTACAGTGTTAGAAATAAGTAACTTCCCAGCTTTGGCTGATGGCGGATACTGAAAGTGAAACCGTGACTACATCTGGTCATAAGGACGCCTGACTAGATACACGCTTCGAGTGTATTGTTGTGGAATACGGACACAAGTACCCAATAATGAATGATCATCAGATAAAGTAAGTAATTAAGAGTATGAATGGTGTAACTGGCTACCCCATTCCAAGGTTCCACACACATACCAACTGTTTATAAATATGGCTCAAGTTTTCCGAGATGTGTGTGCCAAAACTTGGGAATATAGTTGTTTCATAGACTGTATTTACTTACATACAAATTTCATTTTCTTCACGGCACCTTGCCTTTTTCTACAGCTTTTCCTTCACTTGTGGGGAGGTCACTTCTCGAACCCGCTTCAGCTACCACCTGGTGGAGGACGATGATGACTACGATCACCACGCTAACATCGGCCCCCTCAAAGCCTGTACAGAGTATACCATCAGTATCAAATCCATCGGCAAAAATGGGGAAGAAAGCGCTTCAATCACCAAAAACGCCACTACCAAGGAAGATGGTGAGACGATCTCTGTTAGTGTACAGCAGAGAAACTAAAGAGAGAACATGAATATATATCATTAAATAACATCAGTTGGTCTTTATGGATGCTTCTCATACTGTTTTGGAAGGAGAGTTAGGTATAGCTCAGTAACAATGAAGAACTATACTAAATGGCTGTTACACACACGCACGTACTAACACCGTATAAAAGCACTCATAATGCAGAGAACTACACACACACACACACACACACTTTAATTATCAATAAATACAAGATGTCGTTGGAGTATAAAAATCAAACGTCCACTTTAGAAGGAAATTTTTTTATATAAATAATTACAATTGAAATATCACATGTACGTATCAATGATGGGGGACCAAAGAGTCGACAGAATAAGGAGCTGAAGTACACTTTGTATGAACAGATCCACATGCGCCTCCCTACATCTTGGTGCACCCAACTAGCCCAGTCACCATCGACGTGGAATGGAGCAATAAAGGAAAAGAACGCTGTGTTGGCTACTACATTATCTGCTGGTATAGCAAACTTATCCACACTGAAACATGTCAAAATGTGATGGATGCTGATGGCAGTTTCACCATCACCGAACTTATTGGCTGCAACCGTTACGACGTCAGCCTCACGGTGGTGACCCCAGAAGGCACCCACAGCGAGACTGTCAGAAACTTCACCAATACTCCTGAAGACAGTGAGTATATACTGTACTTTATGTCAACAAAGAACAGCTGCTCTTCAGTTCAATACCCAGAGTTACCTCTATTGCTCTCAGCTATCCTGTATTACCAACATTGACCCTGACTTACCAAGTGCTTGTATGTTATTCAGAGCTGTGTAGTGTTTGCCTGAGATAAGTCTTACCTAAATCATTCTTTTGTTATCTTATATAATTTAAGTATTAAGTGATGATATAATTGAAACTCTATCTACAAATATTATCTTAATTTAACAAACTTAAAATTCCTGATCTACAGAACTGTGTAGTGAAATAGATTAAACTGCTGTATTTCTTACGTGAGACACCAAAACACATCTCTTCAGAGAACCGATGTTAAAAGTTTACTAATGATAACTGTGTTCCACCAGCACCTGGTCCCGTGGTGAACCTCAAAGCGGACAAAGTCCAATCCACTTCTGTGGAGGTCTCCTTCAGTGTGCCCAAAGTCAACCTGCAGTGTGTTGGTGGGTACGACATCAAGGTGATCAACTTTGACGCGAGTAAGGATGCAGCCCCTCGAGGAACCGAAGGCCAGCAGGATATAGCTCTACAAGTGACCGATAACCGCATTGTCAGCACAGTCTCAGGCCTCAATGCTTGTACCAACTATGAAATAAAAGTTGGTGCCCTCTCCCTGAGTGGCGAGTTGACCTCCCCCTGGGAGGCAGTCATAGAGAGAACTGACGACCTTGCGCCTTCTGAACCCCAGCATTTTGAAGTGAAAGAAGTAACCAGAAATTCCGTGACGTTCCAGTGGTACCAACCTACCAGTAACCTTCCCTGCCTCACCGCGTACAAACTCACCTATAAGCATTTAATCACTACCAAGACAAAAATTATTACAGATATATCGAACTACAAGATGGAGTACATGGTTGATGGCCTCAGTCACTGTGCTCAGTATACATTCACTCTCTCTGCTAAGTCCGTAACGAAAGAGAGCCAAGACCTGCAAATTGTACAGCACACCGCCTGTTTCTAACTTAAACATGTGTCAGTAACGCCTTAAACCCACCACCTACTGTACATCATTGACTCTGTGTCCAAGGAGGTTGAATAAATGGAGGTGGCATTCACTGCCTCAAATGAAGTCACTGACTGTAACTGATGCCTTGACCAATATGGCGGTATGTCTCGCTCACTGACTTTATCCTCTTTGGCTGATCCCACTATAATGAGATTAATTAATAAAGCAATAGTATAAAACCTGTAGAATTATCTGTAACCACCGTTTGTTTGTGATTAGCTGTGACAACTGTGGCAGTGTTGCTTTGACCAAGATGGCGGCCTCCACCCATTCAACCTCATTGATTGTGTCACACCCCAGTCCACCTCATACCCAGCTCACACACACATTACCCGACTCTAAGCTGTCTTAGACACAAGGGATTCAATGTTGTCACGGTACACAATGACGAACTTGACGTGTAAGAGAACTCATAAAGGTGTCTCACCATTGTTAACAAATGTTGATTTGTGGTGAAATTCGTTTGGTATTTGTTAGGGTATAGAGACACATGGCTTGTAAAGTTATCTGGCAGCATCTTAATAATCAGTGGAATTATAATTTCCATTTATTAAAATCAGATTCAATTATTTTTGGAATATTTTGTACTTTTAGTGGAAGGTTTAACAGAGACTGCCAGTGACTGTCAGTGACGCGAGACTATGTGTGGTAACCCAAGAGTACTTTTTGTTGTTATTCCCCATGGAAAGAAGTTCTTATGCGAAAGCCTGGTTGCAACAAGAGCAATCCAGGCAGGCAGTAAATGTATCACTTGAAGAATTAAGGCTCTGTTAAGTCATACCCATAGTAGAGTAATCACGTGTCCCTAAGTTGAAAATTCTCTCTTTAGAAGATTAATTTTACTACAGCGTGAATGTGAGTGACTCATATATCCATGCAAATTGTAAATCATTGTATGGAAGCTTACCAAATAAATGTAAGTGAAATTATCTGCCCGTATCTGTGATCCTATCTTATTAGTAAAGGTAATGACTGATTGGTTATGACAAAGTATAACCAATAACTAAGATGGATGTTGGAAATTAATGGAACTCATTAAATCATCATTTATCAAGTATAAATCATGGAATGTCGAGTGGTGGAGTGAATTTTTACGTATATACACCATAATCTCCTGTAAGTAACCAGTGTGAAGGTATCGAACTCTACGGTAAGAAATATAAGAAACACAATATAATATAACCTTATATAACATCCACACCTAAAAACTAAAAAAATTCATGACAAATATATGCTGCTCTGGAGGATACATATCCTCATGAGGACTTACCCAGGAGGGAGAGCAATATCAGTCGTGAGGTATTCAGAGGCTTGCCAGATGTACAGTAACCTATTGAGAGGTGTGAAGATCAAGAGCTAAAATAAACTTAACAAAATTCAGTTAGAAAGGAATAAGTAAAGCTTCTTGCTCCAGATAATAAGACATTATGAGAGATAAGTAGAAATAAAATAGTACATTACATTAAGTATTTTATATTATAGAAGAAAAGATCTTAGAGTTTTCGTTGCATATTTTTTAAACCAAAACATGCCATTAGCTTGTCGGTTTACACCTTGAAAATGCAGGGCCTAGACTCTTAAAGAACAGTACACAAACACACATGGGGACCCGGTAACCCAGATATCTGTGTATTTCATAGGAGTGGCAACAAAAAAGTAAGTAATGTGTCGGTCGTTCATATACAATTTTGGACTTTTTATTACCAATACACAGATGCTTATCTTAGGTGCCACAGTCGAGTCAACAATTTTATCAAGGGTTTTACCAGCAGTTTCTATTTTAACTTTTCTCAGCCAAGGTAATGATAAATTGGACAAGGTTTCAAGTGACATAAAGCACAGATAATTAGTAAGCTTTAAATAGACTCACTGTTATTGTCTCGGCTCATTAGGTCCGTGGCGTTAGACCAGAATAGTGTTTGAGAAGACGACCTTCTGTAGAGGTACCATCGGGAATATGAAGATTCTTTTGTACCTGACGGCGGTCGTCGTGGTTTGTGCTGCCCAGGATTTTGGTGAGACTTTAACAAGAAACCACGAAAAGTATAATCCGCAATATTTGTATTAATACCAAACAATTTTACAATTTTGAGTTGATAAAATCAGTGGACAGAACCAGATCAATGAGGCTCCTCCTCTTGTCTTGAGAAATAAACTAAAGAGCGGGAGTTAACACTTAAGTGGCTCACAAGTTGTCTTCCACAAGTACTTGGGAAAGTTTATCAAGTTTCACAGATCGATGATGACCTCTGCCTTACCCTACACGAGGGAGGTGTTGACTGTTCCTAACACGGAGGTAGAGACTTTTGTTCCACACATGGATAATGAACACAGCGCTTTGTTCCATGCATAAATCACATGACGTTCCCATTCCACACACCCAGGAGGCAGGAGACACTCTTAGTTTACAAGACACAATGTAACAGTACAAAGCCCGCTTCTCGTCCTTCACTCTCAGACTCACAATGCTCAGATGAAAGTGTCATCCTCACTGGCTCACTCAAGGAATGTCATAATTCAATATAATTTACAAAACATAACGAGTTAATAAAATCTTGTAAATCTAGCCATAACAAAACTCGTAAACAACATCTTCCTCAACAGGTCACATCAAGAACCTGCAGGTAACGAGTGGTGACGGCTCCATAACACTGGAGTGGGACTTCGTGGCAGGAGATCCTACATACAAGCTCCACAAGTACACTATTCTTACCGATAATGACTTCAGCACTGATTTCCGCTGCCCTGCTGCTCACTGTACAACCATCATAGACTACCTTGATGCCTGCAAGGAACACACCTTTGATGTGACTCCTGTTTTTGATGACACAGTGAATGGCGGGTCAGTTAACGGAGACACCTCCTCCATCAGTGGCTTTACTAACGATCTACGTAAGTCTGGGACTGGAATACTGCATGTGTTAATATATTACCTTGTGTGAATGTTTATGTATATCATCCTGTGAATGTGTACATTACGTATTGTGTTATTGTATTGGTGTCAATGTATATGTATTTTGGAGATATATATTACTCTTAAAATACAGAATACATTTTTCTTCCATATAAGTGTCTAAGCAAACACTAATGCTTATACAGTCAACTGAGTGAATGTTTATGCATAACTTCTCACTCGAGCAGCGCCGAGCTCCCCCTCCAACCTGAGGGTCCTCTCGGAGGACGACTCGGGTACAACTCTACAATGGGACGCCCCCACCAAGAACCCAATATGTGTCCAGTCCTACAAGGTTTGCTACAGGCTGGATAAGGACCCGAAACCCACCTGTGAGACGGTAAGTGAACAGGTGTGGTGAGGGAGAGTGGTAGGTGATGGTGAGGGAGTATGGTAGGTGGTGGTGAGGCAGTATGGTAGGTGGTGGTGAAGCAGTATTGTAGGTGGTGGTGAGGCAGTATGGTAGGTGGTGGTGAGGCAGTATGGTAGGTGGTGGTGAAGCAGTATGGTAGGTGGTGGTGAGGCAGTATGGTAGGTGGTGGTGAGGCAGTATGGTAGGTGGTGTTGAGGCAGTATGGTAGGTGGTGTTATATATACCAGTTTTTGGTGATGTTCGCCTCACACAGACGGAGGACACCACCATCACCCTGGCTGGTCTACAAGCCTGCGGCGAGTATCACGTGACTGTGACGCCCGTGACGCCCAGTGATACAGAGGGACCCCAGCTGGAGCAGGACGTCACCACTGAGAATGGAGGTAGGTGGAGGAAGTTTAACGCCGTACCTTTAAAAGCCGATAATTAAAGTAAGCAATATGTTGGCGGTTGTGAACATCTTGGATAAAAATGACAAGATTCAGGTGGGCGGTCGAATCGCTGTGCATGTTGAGTGTGCTTGAGTCCATGATATGTTGAAGACCGTGTTTACAGAGAACTAAATGACGAGGACTGGAGAGGTTTAGTGAAAGATGTAAGAGGGAAGTATCTGAGATAAAGTTAAAAGATGTAAGAGGGAAGTATCTGAGATAAAGTTAAAAGATAACAAGATAGATAAAGGAATCGGTTGTCATGAATATAAATATAATATGGTAGACGAGGATATGATAACAAAGCTTATTATCCAACTGAATACAGCCTAAGGGAAGTTTCGGAAAGTTTGAGAAGTTTGAGAGGAAAGTTAAGAGAGGGATGGATGTGTTAACAGAGCCAGAGGAGTTATATTAGAGCTATATAAGGCTACTTAAAGTCACACAGGGAAAACAAACTACAAAGAATATCTATATGGCGTTTAGGAAGAAGGTAAGGGGACTACAATAAACAATAGTTTGAAGAGTTAACGTAGGTGTCAGGAAGAGTGGAAGAGAGGGACTCCAGGAGTGACCGGGGAGATGTTGAGGGAGCGAGGGAGGGCGGGTAATATACGCTGTTTATATACTGAACAATATGCGTGAGGCTGAAATTATGACTACCAGACAACTGGACGGATGTATTGATCGAAGCTTACAACAGTGTGATATAAGTGGTTCGATGATATTTAACAAGGAAAGTTGGAGTAACAAGATAAATTCATTATATGAGAAATTATATGTGTAACACTAACCAATATTCTGGGTCTACTCTCGACAGTTGCCGGGCCGCCCCAGGACGTGAAGGTGGGAATCACCACCGACAGCATCATCGAGTTGGAATGGAATGACCCTGCCATCAACCCTCTCTGTGCTCAGGAGTAAGTAACTCATCTGTGGCTACTACTGTCCCCCATTTACAACAATTTATTGTCTTTAGTGGCAGTATCCCTTTTTAGTAACATTGTCCCGCCATAATGTCATTGTCGCAACCCTTCCTTAGTGACACTTAAACCTTTGAATGGCAGTGCCCTTTAACAACATCATACCCTTCAAAGAAGCACTGTCTATCATGGAAAAACCTTCCCTCTTAACACAGTACCGACATTGTCTCAAGCACTCCTGTCTTTATCAATAGCTACTCCATCACCTATGGGGAGGTCACTTCTCGACCCCGCTTCGGCTACCACCTGGTGGAGGACGATGATGACTACGATCACCACGCTAACATCGGCCCCCTGGAGCCTTGTACTGAGTATATCATTAGCATAACTTCCATCAGCAAGGACGGACATGAGAGCGACCCAGTCAGCAGTCAGGCTTCTACTGATGATACAGGTCAGGGTTTATCTCTTCGTGTAGCGACGTGTGTGTGTGTGTGTGTGTGTGTGTGTGTGTATATATGCCCGTGTAGTGAACATGAGAGGGCATTAAGACCAGCAACAGTAACACAGCTCCACAGCCTTCTTTTTTCGGCGCGCTCATTTCTTCTAAAAATTTTAAAAGAAAGACGAAATTAAAAAAGAAAAGAAATCATACTACGATATGCAGTAATTTACACATAAACATGCAAATTACTAACACATAAACGTTAACACACACACACACACACACACACATATATTAAGTCAAGGTAGTCGAAGGCTCAAGAAATCTCACACTTCAATTTTTGTTGGAACCTTCATTGTCTGTCTTTTTTCCTTCAGACTACCAAAGGAGTGTGTGAGTTATAGTCGACCAGAGTCAACACAGTAAAATCCTGAAGCAAAGTTTATGTTGGCAGATCCTTTGCCGCCGAAATTCATTGTTGTGGACTCATCCGGCCCCGACACCATTGAAGTGAACTGGGGCAAGAACGAGGCTGACCGCTGCATTGGATACTACATTATCTGCTGGAACGCCAGCAACTCCCTGGACGAGACGTGTGTGAATGTGACGGATGCCAATGGCAAATACACCATCACCGACCTCCTCGCTTGTACCCACTACGACGTCAGCATCACTGTGGTCACCCCGGGAGGCATCTTTAGTGAGACCGTCAGAAACTTCACCAACACTGGCGAAGCTGGTGAGTTGACGATGGATCCTTGCTTTATTCCCCTACCCACGGCTATCATGTGTTACCCACAACTACACCGTGTTACCCACACCTACCCTGTGTTACCCACACCTACCCTGTGTTGCCCACAGCAACCCTGAGTTACCCACAGCTTCCCTGTGTTGCCCACAACAACCCCGCGTTGCCCACAGCTACTGTGTTACCCACACCTACCCTGTGTTACCCACAGCTACCCTGTGTTACCCACAGCTGCCCTGTGTTGCTCACAGCTACCATGTGATGCCCACAGCTACCCTGTGTTGCCCACAGCTACCCTATGTTACCCACAGCTGCTCTCTGTTGTCCACAGCTGCCCTGTGTTGCCCACAGCTACCCTGTGTTGCCCACAGCTACCCTGTGTTACCCACAGCTACCCTGTGTTGCCCACAGCTACCCTGTGTTACCCACAGCTACCCTGTGTTACCCACAGCTGCCCTGTGTTGCTCACAGCTACCATGTGTTGCCCACAGCTACCCTGTGTTGCCCACAGCTACCCTGTGTTGCCCACAGCTACCCTATGCTACCCACAGCTGCCCTCTGTTACCCACAGCTACCCTGTGTTGCCCACAGCTACCTTGTATTACCCACAGCTACCCTGTGTTACTCACAGCTGCCTTGTGTTGCTCACAGCTACCATGTGTTGTCCACAGCTACCCTGTGTTGCCCACAGCTGCCCTGTGTTGCCCACAGCTGCCCTCTGTTACCCACAGCTACCCTGTGTTGCCCACAGCTACCCTGTGTTGCCCACAGCTACCCTGTTACACACAGATATTGTTGTAGTTTCTTTCATAAGGCAAAAATGTTGATCGTTGAAATACTCTTTCTTAACTATATATTGTATGCTAAACCCTTACTACAAATTACTGAGTTCCACAGCACCAGGTCCCGTGGAGAACCTGAAAGTGGACGACATCCAGACGACTTCGGTGGAGCTGTACTTCGAGGTGCCTGAGGTCAACCCGCAGTGTGCTGGTGAATACGACATCCGAGAGATCGACCTGGACCACAATGATTATGGAGCCAGAAGACTGACTGATGAACACAGGAGGAACACCATCTCTGGCCTCAAGCCCTGCTCCAACTATAAGTTCCAGGTGCGCGCTGTTAGCTGGAACGGTGAATATATCTCCCCCTGGCAGTCAGTTACAACCAAAACCACCTGTACCTAGTTGCAACATCTGCTACAGGAGATGAGTCAGCAGCGCCTACACCCTACTCTACATCACTGACTACTGTGTCACACTCCGGTCCACTTCATACTCAGCTCTAACACACATCTACCTGATTCTCAGCTGTCTTAGACACAAGGGATTCACCGTTGTCACGGTTCTCTTGTCTAAGGCCACAACACAGTAAGGAAATTGTGTTACTGACGTGTAAGAGAATTGTAGATGATTTATGGTGAAATTATCATCAGTAGTAAATCACTTACTCCTTCTCTGTTAATCCTCATATACAGCATAAACCAAGAGACTATATCAGGTATTGTAATTATTAACATTCTAGAACATCAATATTATTAGTTTTGTCAACCTTGGTAAGGAACTTTTGGCAAGACGTGATAACAAAGTCCCCTGAAGTAAATCTTAGCACAAATTACTCTTCATCAACGTTATGGTAGCAGAGGTAAACATTGTTGTCAAGACGACTGTAACCTTCATAACATTTCCACCTCGGTACTTGGTAAACATCCCTCTAAGAAAATGTTTATATTTTCACATCTTGTGAAAATTGTTGAACTAGATTTACATTTTACAATGCAGTGATACTACTTGAATATTTTTACACCATTGGTAGGAGCATCTGCTGCTGTAGCTCTGTATGGTATAAAACTTTACTCACAGGATAGTCATTTTTCATTTAAACAAATCTTGAGTGTTTGGGTTCTACGAACTTTGGCTTTATGTTACCTGATCATCCACACCAGATAACCAAAAATTGCCTCTCACCGCTGCCATAATGTTAACTACAAGTACACGAACAATCATAATACTTTAGTCTATCCTTCACTCAACCAGAGAGAGAAATGTGTTAAATATACTAATAATAACTGTTCTGATAATTATTACGCACAATGATATTTAGGATACAAATTTTAGAGTTACTAGAAATGAGTTATGTGTTTTGAAAAAAAAAAAATAATACTGCAAGTGCTCAAGACTCTCGGCTAACAAGTAGACATACACAAACGAACAATATATGTCCTTCAAAGTCGATCGTGATCTTCACACCCACAAAAACGACGATCTTTTAATATATAAACATCGTGGCTGCCACTGTTATCATCTAGCTTTTCGTTACACCACAGCATAAATTCTTTTTATAACCCCTGGCTTGATTGCTGCACCTGGGACATTATGGTGGAAGCAAAGCCTTCTAGCTCTTGGTAAGATTTAAGGGCAGTACTGAGAGTTTACAGAATCAGAGGCTTTAATAAGGACCAAGGAGAAGCGAGAACCTACAAGACTCTTTTAATGCGAAGAGGAAGTAGTCCAGTCGACAAAGAACGACTCATGTGTCCACTCTGGGTGTCAGCGATTAGATTAAAATAGCGGATAGCTTTTTTCCTCAAGTTTACAGTTCCTCTTCACTCAGCGGGTTGTCGTGGTCAATGTTGTCATATTTATGAAGTGGGTTTTTAGCCCCGGAAACACTTAGAAGTATCTGTAGCATTAATGAACAGATTAAAGTAAAAGTTAACAATATTTGACAATTAATTATCTACCAGCATGAGACACAAAACAGTTTAAGATTAAAGTCATATAAAATCAAAGGAGCTGTTTGGTGGACCCGAAGATCCCAGTCCTAAATCTACCTGGTGTCGGCTCTCTGTTGATTGTTGATACTGAATCTTCCCGTCTTGCTGCAGAGTTGTGGAAAAGGCTAGCGATCCAAGTGCCTTGTTACGACAACTTTTACCCTAGTTCATCATGATCAGGAACTACGGGGTTAAACAAGTCAGGATCGATATAAAAGACATCGATGGCAAGTCCAATTGACAAAGGTTCTGGTACAACAGGTATAGACTCAAGTAAACATGTATTATGAAGTTAACACCTCAGGGGCATCTGTAACTGATTGACCATAACATGAATATTGCTGTTGTCGGACGCTGTAGTTAGACCAACGATGAGACGACCTAAGAGAGGTAGAGTGAAAGTAGACTGATGAAACTCTTACCAGAAAAAAATAACTTAGAAGTACTGAAACTTGTGAATGGAGTACATGCATTCCTGGTGTACATGAAGAAAACTTGATATTAATACTGAACTGTTCGTGAATGACCCTTAACAATTACGGAATGGCACAGTAGACTAACACAGTAAGACAAACCACTAATAAGACTGTAGTAGTGTAGTAATGGAAATCAATAAGTGGGACAAGGACAGTCGTTGGCTGAGACAGAAGTCGAGATCCACACACACATAAAGAATTCGAACCTACAGTATATCTAAATGGTTCTTATCAGTACATCAAGGGGTATAGTGTCGCAAGTCTCTGTGCGATGAAGTTTTCCTCGTAAATGAAGATATAGAAATTTCACCTAACAACTACAACAAATAACATCTAAAATTATTATAACAATTACACTGAGATTATACCTTAACTGGATGAACTGACTTCGCTATAATTGCTGAGATAAGAACTCTAAGGACTTTGATATACAGTTTGCTTACTCTCTCACACCTGACCCGTATAATGTAAACACACGTATCTTAAGAAAGTCCTTGTCTGTGCTACCCGAGTGTGTCTTGTAGCATGAGTGTTAATTACGTCTCAACTTTATAAAAAAAAACCTCCCCAAGATTCAGCCAAGAGACGACCACCACCTGGTACAGTGAGACGACCGCCACCTGGTACAGTGAGACGACCGCCACCAGGTAGTGAGACGACCGCCACCAGGTAGTGAGACGACCGCCACCAGGTACGGTACACGCACGAGATATCCATGGTTCTGATACACCTGGCACCCCCTTCCTCTGAGATAATCTAAACCTTTTAATGTCCTGTAGATGCTAAGATCTTCCATGGTTGTTTAAGAAAGTAATTTACACGGGTTTGAGCCTGCGTGTGTGTGTGTGTGTGTGTGCTGATGAGGCCTTTTAACAGCAACGACTAAAAATATGTTTGTTTTTTTGTTCTGGGCTGATGGGAATAAACATGTGTGTCCTTAAGAGAGAGAGAGTGTGTGTGTGTGTGTGTGTGTGTGTGTGTGTGTGTGTGTGTGTGTGTTAGTAGAGAAGTTCACATACTTGATTGAAAGCGTCATTGTTTAGATTTAAAAGTAAAATAATCTTAACTTTAGACTGACTGAAGAACTGACTTGGATTTTCCCACACAATCAGGTCATAAAATAACACTAGAAAAAAGGGATATTTTACCCTTGGTGGCGTATATTTCTTAACGGATCAACATTAAATAGCTCTAAGTTCACATTATCCATGGCTAGAGACTTATGATATATCGTTCGCCAATTTTTGATGGAGGCCTTAAGAGTTGCTTTACCAGGCCGATATAACCCCGATCCCTCAATGATAATGTGGCGAGCTAATTGTCAAACTTCACCGCGGTTTATTCTAGAAACGAAGACCAAAGAATGTTGCTTAATAAAATGAATCTAAAACAACTACAGCAACAATAAGAAACAAATGAAAAGTGTCATCTTTCACAGGTACCTGATCCCGTATAGACGCGCAGCCATTATAGGTCAGAGTAACCAGCCCCTTGTCCACGGTAAACACAAACATCAAGGAACTCCGTAAACACAAACATCAAGGGACTCCGTAAACACAAACATCAAGGAACTCAGTAAACACAAACATCAAGGAACCCAGTAAACACAAACATCAAGGAACCCAGTAAACACAAACATCAAGGAACTCAGTAAACACAAACATCAAGGGACTCCGTAAACACAAACATCAAGGAACTCAGTAAACACAAACATCAAGGAACTCAGTAAACACAAACATCAAGGAACTCCGTAAACACAAACATCAAGGAACTCAGTAAACATAATTATCAAGGAACCCAGTAAACACAAACATCAAGGAACTCCGTAAACACAAACATCAAGGAACTCCGTAAACACAAACATCAAGGAACTCCGTAAACACAAACATCAAGGAACTCAGTAAACACAAACATCAAGGAACTCCGTAAACACAAACATCAAGGAACTCCGTAAACACAAACATCAAGGAACTCAGTAAACATAATTATCAAGGAACCCAGTAAACACAAACATCAAGGAACTCAGTAAACACAAACATCAAGGAACTCAGTAAACACAAACATCAAGGGACTCAGTAAACACAAACATCAAGGAACTCAGTAAACACAAACATCAAGGAACTCAGTAAACACAAGCATCAAGGAACCCAGTAAACACAAGCATCAAGGAACCCAGTAAACACAAGCATCAAGGAACTCAGTAAACACAAGCATCAAGGAACTCAGTAAACACAAGCATCAAGGAACTCAGTAAACATAATTATCAAGGAAGTCAGGAAACAATGGGAATAAAGGGACAGTGTAAATACCCAAGTCCCCTAGTTCATTGTGCGTCAGCAGCCCCAGAGTAGGTCGGCAGTGTCCTTGAAGGGAACTAACACACAGTCGCCCCAATCAGCAGAGGCACAGGTTCACAGCGCCCCTCCCTCCTTCCCTCCCCGACAAGTCATCAGAAAGACAACAGCTGTGTCCCCACGTCAACAGCCAACGAAAGACTTTGACCTTTAACTGTATTTAATATCATGTAACTGTCTTTAACGGTGTGATCTCTCTCTCTCTCTCTCTCTCTCTCTCTCTCTCTCTCTCTCTTGTGGTGTTTCCCATCATTAACCGAGGTGGAAGAAACGAGAAAAAACACATTGCTTTAGGACATAACAAAGGCAGGAATCACTGGTGTGGCAACTATAGATCATGTTCAAGGCTTTTTTTTTTATTCTTAGATAATTATACTGTCACTTCTGAAACAGTTTTTAACATAGCTGATTTATATTTTATTTTTTATCTTTTGCAGGTGCACTTAATTTTGGCTATAGAGGGACATAGCCAACAAGCGGCCACTCTCATTCTAAAGTGTGGCGGATGCATTTTAATTCGTAAAACACACACACACACACACTCACACTGAAGGGCACAATCTTAGGGACTCAAGCACGCACACACCTGTTTATTCACACCAGAGACGTCAGCAATCAGAGCAGTGCGTCAGTTGTGTCTTACTGATTCTTGAACACTTTGCTACCAGGACACAGAGGCTAAAGTTGTGTGACGTTCTCACGTAAACAGTTTGTCAAATAATTTTCAGACAGTTTCGGATTTTTTCATTTTTAAGCCTTCGTGAAGATGTCAGGTTTATATAGCCTCAGCGTAATGGTTTCAGTCCAGAGATTCTCCGGCACTGAACCAGAGAACAACTGCACAAAATCTCTCTGGGTGAAGCTGTCATTTGCACTATGAAAATCTTCCTCTACTTAGCGGCCGTTGCTCTCTGTTCTGCGCAGGATTTCGGTGAGGCTTTTATTAACAACAAAGTTGTATTTAATCCACATTATTTGTAACATTTTTAACATATTTTATATTTTAAAGATTTATTATCTGTGGATAAAATTGGGGACTTGTGAAGTTTGTCTTGAGAAATAAACTATACGAGTGGGAGTTAGTTAACACTTTAGTGGTTCACAAGTTGTCTTCCACAAGTCCTTGGGAAAGTTTATCAAGTTTCACAGATCGATGATGACCTCTGCCTTCCCCTACACGAGGGAGGTGTTGACTGTTCCTAACACGGAGGTAGAGACCTTTGTTCCACACATGGATAATGAACACAGCGCTTTGTTCCATGCATAAATCACATGACGTTCCCCTTCCACACACCCAGGAGGCAGGAGACATTCTTAGTTTACAAGACACAATGTAACAGTACAAAGCCCGCTTCTCGTCCTTCACTCTCAGACTCACAATGCTCAGATGAAAGTGTCATCCTCACTGGCTCACTCAAGGAATGTCATAATTCAATATAATTTACAAAACATAACGAGTTAATAAGATCTTGTAAATCTAGCCATAACAAAACTCGTAAGCAACATCTTCCTCAACAGGTCACATCGAGAACCTGCAGGTAACGAGTGGTGATGGCTCCATAACACTGGAGTGGGACTTCGTGGCAGGAGATCCTACATACAAGCTCCACAAGTACACTATTCTTACCGATAATGACTTCAGCACTGATCTCCGCTGTCCTGCTGCTCACTGTACAACCATCATAGACTACCTTGATGCCTGCAAGGAACACACCTTTGATGTAACTCCTGTTTTTGATGACACAGTGAATGGCGGGTCAGTTAACGGAGACACCTCCTCCATCAGTGGATTTACTAACGATCTACGTAAGTCTGGGACTGGAATACTGCATGTGTTAATATATTACCTTGTGTGAATGTTTATGTATATCATCCTGTGAATGTGTACATTACGTATTGTGTTATTGTATTGGTGTCAATGTATATGTATTTTGGAGATACGTATTACTCTTAAAATACAGAATACATTTTCTTCCATATAAGTATCTAAGCAAACACTAATGCTTATACAGTCAACTGAATGAATGTTTATGCATAACTTCTCACTCGAGCAGCGCCGAGCTCCCCCTCCAACCTGAGGGTCCTCTCGGAGGACGACTCGGGTACAACTCTACAATGGGACGCCCCCACCAAGAACCCAATATGTGTCCAGTCCTACAAGGTTTGCTACAGGCTGGATAAGGACCCGACACCCACCTGTGAGACGGTAAGTGAACAGGTGTGGTGAGGGAGAGTGGTAGGTGGTGGTGAGGGAGTATGGTAGGTGGTGGTGAGGCAGTATGGTAGGTGGTAGTCAGGCAGTATGGTAGGTGGTGGTGAAGCAGTATGGTAGGTGGTGGTGAGGCAGTATGGTAGGTGGTGGTGAGGGAGAGTGGTAGGTGGTGGTGAGGGAGAGTGGTAGGTCGTGGTGAGAGAGAGTGGTAGGTCGTGGTGAGGCAGTATGGTAGGTGGTGGTAAGGCAGTATGGTAGGTGGTGGTGAGGCAGTATGGTAGGTGGTGGTGAAGCAAAATGGTAGGTGGTGGTGAGGCAAAATGGTAGGTGGTGTGGAGGGGTTAATGGTAGGTGGTGGTGAGGCAGTATGGTAGGTAGTCTTGAGGCAGTATGGTAGGTGGTGGCAGTATGGTAGGTGGTGGGCAGTATGGTAGGCAGTGGTGGTGGCAGTATGGTAGGTGGTGGTGAGGCAGTATGGCAGTATGGTAGGTGGTGGTAGGTGGTGGTGAGGCAGTATGGTAGGTGGTGTTATATATACCAGTTTTTGGTGATGTTCGCCTCACACAGACAGAGGACACCACCATCACCCTGGCTGGTCTACAAGCCTGCGGCGAGTATCACGTGACTGTGACGCCCGTGACGCCCAGTGATACAGAGGGACCCCAGCTGGAGCAGGACGTCACTACCAGGGATGGGGGTAGGTCGATCTCTTTGTTACCTCAGCCACAATTATTAGACATGCTGAGTTTAGTTCAGCATATATGCTGTATTCAAAATTTAGAGATGTAATCGAAGCTCTAAACACGGTAAATGCTGGTTACAATTATGCAACATAATTCATGTTAGAAAATATATTTCTATCCCTCATAAGTCACGTGATTCGTTACTGAAACTTTCATGGAAGATGAGGAAGTTGATTACACAACGGGAGCAACTCCGTGTAGGACTGGATGGATGAACGGACGGACGGACATTACCTTTATTATGGTAAAAATAAAATATCAAAGTAGAGAAGACAGAGGTGTGCTCTGTGGCTAAGTGTGTGAAGGTTAGAATTAAACAGTGTTTGGAAGAACATAAGTCACTTAGTTGTTAGTCAGTGTTGGTTGATGTGCACATGTCAACAATTTGGGTTAGGTCAACAGTAGGTATGTACCAACAGATGACCAGGAGGAGCTGAAGAGTGTAAAATAGTGTGACTGAAGTGTGTAAGTCAGCAATAAGGAGATTGGACATAAAAATAAAGGCTGGGGAGACAACAGAGAAAGCAGCACTGAGAGTGTGCGAGGTGAGGAAATGTATTGTACCAAGAACACGCAGAGTGTCAGGTTGAGCAAATTGAGTGTACATGATATATTAAAGTCAGTGTTTACAGACAACGGAGGAGATACGTAGACTGGGAAAGAAAGAATAAACTGACTGAATGACGAGGAATGGAGAGGTTTAGTGAAAGATGTAAGAGGGAAGTATCTGAGATAAAGTTAAAAGATGTAAGAGGGAAGTATCTGAGATAAAGTTAAAAGATGTAAGAGGGAAGTATCTGAGATAAAGTTAAAAGATGTAAGAGGGAAGTATCTGAGATAAAGTTAAAAGATGTAAGAGGGAAGTATCTAAGATAAAGTTAAAAGATAACAAGATAGATAAAGAAATAGGTTGTCATTAATATAAATATACAGTAATATGGTAGAAGAGGATAAGATAACAAAGCTTAGTATCTAGCTAAATACAGCCAAAGGGAAGTTTCGGAAGTTTTTAAAAGTTACAGAAGATTTGTGAAGGAAGGTCATACAGGAGGTATATTTTTGTGAAATACTAATACTTAAGGTTTACTATGAACAGTACCCGGGACGCCCCAGGACGTGAAGGTGGGAATTACTACCCAAAGTACAATCGAACTGGAGTGGAACGACCCTGCCATCAACCCTCTCTGTGTTCAGGAGTAAGTAATTCATCTTAACACTGTCAGAGACGACCTCAAACACTGACAGGGACGACCTCAAACACAGATAAACTGACAGATAAACACACAGGTAAAGTGAGATGGATGACCTCCCACAGGTAAGCTAACAGGGACGACTTCACACACAGGTAAACTAATAGGAACGACTGAAGACATAGGTAAACTGACATGGACGACCTTACACATAGGTAAACTAAATGAACTACGAGGGATGACCCAAACGAAAATGTACGTCCTCAAGGTTGAAAATAGCTAGTTTTTATATTCCCTTCTTGAAGAGTCTTAATACCTTCTTCATATTTCACATTTATATGTAGCCCTTGAACTCTCCATATAGAGCTTGTGTATAAAATATTAGTTATCATATCTACTACTACTAATAATAATAATTGTAATGATAATAACCAACACATCCAGGTAGTGCCCTTCTTTTAAAAGCTTCCTTCCAGAATGGCACTGTCCTGCGTTAAAGACGACCAACCCTCTCGAGTGAGACTCCCTCAAGTACATCCTTGTCTCAAGTATTCTTACTTTTGTCCACAGTTACTCCATCACTTATGGTGAAGTCGAATCCCGACGCCGCTTCAGCTACCACCAGGTGGAGGACTTTGGTGATGACTACGATCACCACGCTAACATCGGCCCCCTCGAACCCTGTACTGAGTATCTCATCAACATAACTTCTATCGGCAAGAAGGGCCAGGAAAGCGTCTCAATCAGCAAACAGGCAGCTACCAATGACACCGGTAAGGAAGTATTTTTCGTGTAGAGAAGATATATATATATATATATATATATATATATATATATATATATATATATATATATATATATATATATATATATATATATATATATATATATATATATATATATATATATATATATATATGTGTGTGTGTGTGTGTGTGTAGAAACTCTTACGTAGTGAACTAAAGGAATTTTAGTTTATCTCAGTAAAAATAATAGTTTCTCTTTCATTCATTGTTAAGTTCATTTTACCTGAAAGTTTTAAAATCCTGATACAACTAAGCTCAGATACACACCACCACACGTGGACTTTGAATATTATACAAGTTGAAGATGCTGACGTAAGTAAGTCACTCGTCCATTCTGAATAGCATAATCTGCTGTTATTCTCTTTACCTTCAGACTATGAAAAGTGTGTGTGACTTCTAGTAGCCAGAGAGTCAACACTGTTAAGTCCTTAAGTAAAGTTTGTATTGGCAGAGCCTTTGCCGCCCAAATACGTTGTGGTGGACACAACCAGCGAGGACTCTATCGAAGTGAGCTGGGCCGAAAACGAGGCTGACCGCTGTATTGGTTTCTATATTATCTGCTGGAACGACGACCAGTCTGCTGTCGAGACGTGTGTGAATGTGACGGATACCAGTGGCAAATACACCATCACCGACCTCCTCGCTTGTACCCATTACGACGTCAGCATCACTGTGGTCACCCCGGGAGGCATCCATAGTGAGACCGTCAGAAACTTCACCAACACTGGCGAAGCTGGTGAGTTGACGATGGATCCTTGCTTTAATTCCCTACCCACGGCTATCATGTGTTACCCACACCTACCCTGTGTTACCCACACCTACCCTGTGTTACCCACACCTACCCTGTGTTGCCCACACATACCCTGTGTTACCCACACCTACCCTGTGTTGTCCACAGCTACCCCGTGTTACCCACAACTACCCCGTGTTGCCCACAGCTACCCCGTGTTACCCACAACTACCCCGTGTTACCCACACCTACCCTGTGTTACCCACACCTACCCTGTGTTGCCCACACATACCCTGTGTTACCCACACCTACCCTGTGTTGTCCACAGCTACCCCGTGTTACCCACAACTACCCCGTGTTGCCCACAGCTACCCCGTGTTACCCACAACTACCCCGTGTTACCCACACCTACCCTGTGTTACCCACACCCCTACCCACACTACCCTGTGTTGCCCACAGTGTTACTGTTGTGTTGCCCACACATACCCCCACACCTACCCTGTGTGCCCACAGCTACTGTTGCCCAGAGCTACCCCGTGTTGCCTAGAGCTACCCCGTGTTACCCACACCTACCCCGTGTTACCCACACCTACCCTGTGTTGCCCACAGCAACCCCGTGTTACCAGAGCTACCCTGTTGCCCACAACTACCCCGTGTTACCCACAACTACCCCGTGTTGCCCACTACCCGTGTTACCCACACCTACCCTGTGTTACCCACACCTACCCTGTGTTGCCCACACATACCCTGTGTTACTCACACTACCTGTTACCCACCTGTGTTGCCCACAGCTACCCCTGTGTTACCCACACCTACCCTGTGTTACCCACACCTACCCTGTGTTGCCCACACACACCCTGTGTTACCCACACCTACCCTGTGTTGCCCACAGCTACCCCGTGTTGCCCAGAGCTACCCCGTGTTGCCTAGAGCTACCCCGTGTTACCCACACCTACCCCTGTGTTACCCACACCTACCCTGTGTTGCCCACAGCTACCCCGTGTTGCCCACAGCTACCCCTGGCTGTGTTACCCACACCTACCCTGTGTTAACCACACCTTCCCTGTGTTGCCCACAGCTACCCCTGTACCCACACCTACCCTGTGTTGCCCACAGCTACCCTGTGTTGCCCACACCTACCCTGTGTTGCCAACAGCTATCCTGTGTTGCCCACAGCTACCCCTGTGTTACCCACACCTACCCCGTGTTACCCACACCTACCCTGTGTTGCCCACAGCTACCCTGTTACCCACACCTACCCTGTGTTACCCACATCTACCCTGTGTTGCCCACACCTACCCAGTGTTACCCACACCTACCCTGTGTTGCCCACAGCTACCCCGTGTTACCCACACCTACCTTGTGTTACCCACAGCTACCCTGCGTTACCCACAGCTACCCCGTGTTATCCACAGCTACCCCTGTTGTGTTACCCTACCCTGTGTTACCCACAGCTACCCTGTGTTACCCAGCTACCCCGTGTTACCCACAACTACCCGTGTTACCCACACCTGTGTACCCACACCTACCCTGTGTTACCCACGCCTACCCTGTGTTACCCACACCTACCCTGTGTTGCCCACAGCTACCCTGTGTTACCCACACCTACCCTGTGTTACCAACACCTACCCTGTGTTACCCACAGCTACTCTGTGTTACCCACAGCTTCTCTGTGTTACCCACAGCTACCCTGTGTTACTCTCAGCCTCAGGTACCCTGCGTTGCCCACAGCTATTCTGTGTTACCCGCTGATATTCTGTGTTGCCTGCAGCTACCCTGTGTTACCCACAGCCACCCTGTTTTACCCACAGCTATTCTGTGCTGCCCACAGCTACTTCGTTTTACCCACAGTAACTCTGTTACCCACAGCTAGACTGTGTTACCCACAGCTACCCTGTTTACCCACTGCTATTCTGTGTTGCCAACAGCTACCCCGTGTTATCCACTACAACCTTGTTTTACCCACAGCTACTTTGTTTTACCCACTGTAACTCTGTTACCCACAGCTACCCTGTGTTGCCCACAGCTACCCTGTGTTACCCACAGCTACCTTGCTTTACCCACAGTAACTTTATTACCCACAAGTAGCCCGTGTTACCCACAGTGATAGTTATCATTTCTTAAGCAAGGTGAAATAAACACTTTCTCGATTGCAGCTTTAAAGGTTACTATTAATTACTGTGTTCCACAGCACCTGGTCACGTGGAGGGCTTGAGTGTGGTCGAGGTCCACCCGACCTCTCTGAAGGTGTACTTCGAGGAGCCCAACTCCAACCCACAGTGTGTTGCTGGGTACGACATCATGGAAATCGACCTGGACCATAATGCACATACAACAAGACGACTGAACGATAAATACAGACTGGACACAATCACAGGCCTCGAACCTTGCACTGACTATGAAATCAAGGTGCGCGCTTTCTCCAAGACTGGCCAGTATGTGTCCGACTGGCAAGTGGTAGACCAGAAAACCTCCTGTGAATAGTTGCAACATCTGCTACAGGAGATGAGTCAGCAGCGCCTACACCCTACTCTACATCACTGACTACTGTGTCACACTCCGGTCCACTTCATACTCAGCTCTAACACACATCTACCTGATTCTCAGCTGTCTTAGACACAAGGGATTCACCGTTGTCACGGTTCACTTGTCTAAGGCCACAACACAGTAAGGAAATTGTGTTACTGACGTGTAAGAGAATTGTAGATGATTTATGGTGAAATTATCATCAGTAGTAAATCACTTACTCCTTCTCTGTTAATCCTCATATACAGCATAAACCAAGAGACTATATCAGGTATTGTAATTATTAACATTCTAGAACATCAATATTATTAGTTTTGTCAACCTTGGTAAGGAACTTTTGGCAAGACGTGATAACAAAGTCCCCTGAAGTAAATCTTAGCACAAATTACTCTTCATCAACGTTATGGTAGCAGAGGTAAACATTGTTGTCAAGACGACTGTAACCTTCATAACATTTCCACCTCGGTACTTGGTAAACATCCCTCTAAGAAAATGTTTATATTTTCACATCTTGTGAAAATTGTTGAACTAGATTTACATTTTACAATGCAGTGATACTACTTGAATATTTTTACACCATTGGTAGGAGCATCTGCTCCTGTAGCCTTACTCAGTATGGTATAAAACTTTTCTCACAGGATAGTCATTTTTCATTCACACAAATTCTGAGAGTTTGGGTTCTACAAACTTTACCATTAGTTACTTGCTCATCCACACCAGATAACCAAAACTTGCTAAATGTTAACTACAAATATTGGGCCACAGTGAACACCTGAAGGACTTAACGAGGTAGGTAAAGTTCCTTCAGTACAATTAAAGCCCAAACTTTTACCCCAATGCGATGAAACAAGATAACTTGGTGAAGAGACCAGGCTGAGAGACTCCTGACCAGGGAGGTCGCCTGGCACGGGGTCACCTCCTACAGTTTGGAAGTTGTTAAATACAATCTATCCGAAACTTACATTTATATGATCATAATAAAAAGTTAACGTAATATTTTCCCTTTACCTAAATTTTAACTGTGCTACAATTATTTTAACAGGTAAAGATGTTGTTGCCTATGCTAACAACATTAGTGAAATGTTTCCCGAGTAAAGTATTAACAGCATCTAGGGGAGTCGTCTGGAAGGTGATCCAATACATAATGTAGGTGAAGGAGGACCTCACCTGAGTATCACAGTACCAGGTGTGTGGGTGGCTTAGGTTAGGTTAATTAGAGAAGAAAAATAATATTTGGCTTACGTGAGAATGGTTAAGGATAGTTAGGTTAGGTTAGGTTAGGTTAAACAAAATATTTTTTCTTTATTAGACAGACTTCAGACATTATGTTAGGTTAATAAGTTTGTTACGAGTTGGGGATATAGAATATAGTTAAAAGTCTACCCAGATCCCAACAGGCAACAACAATAAAAAAAACAAAGACAATCGGACTATAAAAGGGTAGACAAAGGATGCGAGTTTTTGTTGTGTATAATAAAGTACCATAAATTCCTTAAGAAAATATTCAGCTTTCTATAATTTACCCTTAACCATACTTAACCTAAACATACACAACATTGGCTTAACAGTATATACATATTTACACAACATACAACAATCTGAAGCAAGGTGGAGGTGGGGAGGCAATATAAGATTACAAAATACTCAAGTGCAGTGCTGAGATGGCTGACGAGTAAGGCTGAGTATTGAAGAAGATGGTAGGTAGTCACTGTGCCGTAGGTTTCCAGGATAGGTGATCCTGAGGTCACTTCCCAGAGTGAACTGAACTCTCCTCGAACTGGAGCAGATGAGGAAGACTTGGAGGAGGTGACGCAACAACCAGGATATGGAGAAGGGAAACCCAGGAGTGGTAACTAAGACTAGTCATACTCGGGTTTCGTCACTAGATGGCGTTGCTCGTGGTGCTGGGTAGGTAGATCATGACAATTGATGGCGTGGTTCGTAGTGCTGGGTAGGTAGATCATGACAATTGATGGCGTGGTTCGTAACAAGTTCAATAAAAGGTTGATAAGAAGAAGTAGGTGTTAAATTTAGTTTATTAGTGTCAATTGATGTACATATATACAATATATGAGGGACAATTAGTATTTGTTTGTTAAAACCAAGACTGACAATGTCTACACAATAATAATACTAATAATAATAATAATTATAATAATAATAATAATAATAATAATAATAATAATAATAATAATAATAATAATAATAATAATAATAATAATAATAATAATAATAATAATAATAATAATAATAATAATAATAATAATAATAATAGTGACTCTCAGTACCAGTTTAATGTCTACATTGTCATTGCATGCCGTTCACCAGCCACCGTTCACGAGGCCCCGTTCATCAGTTACTGTTTTCCAAGGTACCGTTCATGACCTCTCGCTCACTAGGCACTTTTAATGAAAATTCGACAAAAACGTCGTTGGCGAGAAAGAGTTCAAGGCAGAAGGAGGCGAAGGCGAGAAGAAGACCAGCTGCCAGTAGCACCAGTGTACCCTGCAGGAAGTACACGTGTTAGTGCTTTATTATCACTACTAGCTGGAGTACCCGGGGCTGGCCGGATTTCCTTCTCACGACGTAAAGTTAACATAAGCAAAACAATTCCATCAGGCGCCGCTTCTCCCCCCCAAAAATTACACCTTCAGTACGTAACAATAGTAAGTTTCAAGATTTTAGGTTAAAATGTGGGTGACAAACAAACAAACAAACAAAGACACACACACACAAACACACACACGCGCTACTATTAATGACCGTGGGCCCCCAAGGGCCAACCCCTAGACCTAGAGTTAACAAGGCATCTCATAGCCCACGTCCGTCCTTGGACAAAACTAAGTACACTTGCAAAAAATAAGCAAACTAAATATCAGCTCCATCTTAAAAACTTTGGTCGTGCAAAGAAAATAAACGGGAAAAGACGTTTGGGTTTTAACGAGTGGAGTGCGAGTGGAGGCCGACCATTGCGGCCAAACCCTCGAAAATTTTACCTTGGTGACATTTCTGGGTTACATGCGCAATTCCTTGACAATATTTCAATGAATGAATGAGTGAGTGAGTGAGTGAGGGTAAGGTAGGTACTCACCCAGAGGTTCTTGAGTGTGAGAGCCTCCTTGACTGTGATTTTGGAGGGTGAGAGGCGACAGCTTGTCACGAATGGAATACTATTAAACAGCCAGTGTTCGTACATCCCAGACTCCACCAGTCCTCGTAACCTACAGAAAACAATCACTATACAGGGTGTCTATATGTTAGCTGACCCAATTTTAAACATAATGACCTCAACAAATATCACAGAGAGAACACAGTACACATGTGGAAGTCTAAGAATACAAGAAAAAACTTACGAGTTGTTCCTCAAGTTTAATAAAACCAGCGTGTTCTACCATTAATGTTTTTAAGATTATTAAGTTTTACATGAGACAAAGTTCAGGGATACCTGGTATAAACAAACGTTAATTATATAAACATCTAGAAAGGTAAAGTTAGTTCAAGATAATGACGTTAATGTTTTACCACCTGTAGATTAGCCACCTAGCTTATTTCATCTTGAGATTCAACACTCTAACCCAAACCTATCCTAATCTAAGCTAACCGAATAATTTAACTTAACCTGATATGAACTAATACTAAATAACATAACCTAATGCTAAGCTAGTCTAATGTATCATAATGCCAACCTAATATAACCTAATGCTAACCTAATATACTTAACCGAACCAAATCTAACCTAACCTAACCTAACCTAACCTAACCTAACCTAACCTAATCACTCGAGGTAGCATTAAGGTGTTTAATCATCAGTTGAAATAAGCTGAGTGGGTAATCTTTTGTTTATCCATAATAATATAAGTTGTAGTATTATTTGGACCTTGTATGAACAAGTTATGTTCTTGTACACATTATAACTACAGCTAAATACAGACAGCAAGGGAGAACAAAAATGTTTTCAAAGATAATAATGTATATTTACGTCAATACATATTTTCACGTATTTTGTGAAATGAGAGAGTTTTGAACACGAGTTGGAGGACGTGTGTGTGTACAAAAGCATCAGGAATGGTTTGATGAAAATGGCCTGGAAATCAACGTACTAGTTGATGATAAACGTGCTGGTTTAACTGACTGGCAGAACAACCCTCAGTCTCGGACCAAAGCTGATACCTTCCCCAAGAAGAAAGCTGTGGCCCTGCGGGAACTTCGCAAACTAAAGAACGACTGGTTTAAAAATAAATCACGTGAAACACAAAAACTTGCAGATCAGCACAAGATGTGTGATTTTTCAATTCCACTAAAACATTTTATGGACCAACTACTCATGGCGCAGCCCCCCGTCCGCTCGTCTGACGGTAACTTCCTAATCAAAGATGAAGAAGGCTCTCATCAGTGCTGGAAAGAGCACTACCATTTGCTGCTCACCAAATCACCGATGTGGATGCCCTGACTACCCAAGAGGTCCCCCAGCATCCAGAGCTGACCCATCTCATTTATCTCCATCCCTGGATGAGGAAGCTACTGCAATCAAACAGATGAAAAATATCAAAGCTTCAGGGCCTGATGGAATCCCAGCTGAGGTGTATAAAGCTGGAGGACCTCTGCTTACTAGCCGTCTTCACTCCCTCCTGGATAATATATGGAAAAGGAGGAAATCCCACAAGCTCTTAAGGACGCCTTCAGCGTGGCAAATACCACAGGATATGTAACTGTATATTTTCAGCCTTCTGGCTGCCAAGCTCTTTCAATAAACCGTTAATTATCATTATTATTATTATTATTATTAGGATCTCGATGCTGTTAATAGTTGGCAAGATTATCGCCCGAGTACTCCTGAACAGACTTCTCCCTGAAGCGGAAAAATTTTACCCAGAATCTTAATGTGGCTTTAAACCATCACGTGGCACCACTGACATGATCTTTGCTGCCTACCAGATACAGGAAAAACGAAGACAACAGCGTCGTGACCTGTACATGGCTTTCATCGACCTAACCATGGCCTTTGACTCGGTCAACAGGGAAGCCCTCTAGCGTACAATCAGCCATTTTGGCTGCCCACCAAAATTCATCGCCATTATGAGGCAACTCCGCGATAACATGAATGGCAGTGTCCTGCACAATGGTACCCAGTCTGAGTTCTTCCCCACCCAAACGGAGGTAAAACAAGGATGTGTATTGGCACCAACTCTCTTTTCCAATATCTTGGCTGCTTTCCTTACTCGTGCCAGTGTCAATTTAGCTGCTGGGGTGGATATCGATTACCGGATGAAGGAACTTTTCAACATAAGACGACTCCAGGCAGGAACAAGGGGCCAGCAGTTTCCATTACTGAACTTCAGTATGCAGACGACCCCACCCTTGTCGCTCATACTGAACGCGACCTACAGGAAATCCTGAACACCTATGCAAATGCGTATGCACACTTCGGCCTTGAGACGATTACTCCACACCGTAACGCTTGGAGGAGCACATGCAAGAAGGTGTCAATACTTTCGAGTTAGCCAGACTGCATACCGAGGCAGACAAGCACCAGCACCGAGCTTCTGCCGCCCCTCCCGCACTAGATGTAGCCCTCCACATGTGCAACATATGTGAACTACTCTGCCGGTCCCGTATCGGCCTCTTTACTCACCTCAGAAC